AGTGTATATATGAAAGAATACTCTGTATTTCCTTTAGTGTATAGTATTGACAAATATGTACTTCCCTCAGTTTTAATAACCAATACATTGTACGTTTTCCAGTTTATATGAACACATTTAGTTTCTCTGTATTAACAAATATGTATTTCTTGAGTTTGTTTTTACCGATACTTTGTAATTTCTAATGCATGTATGAACAAATCTTTTATTTTCATTCTCCAGTATGCATAAACAAATCATTTGTACTTTCTCCAGTGTGTATGAACCACTAATGTGTAGTTCTTTAGTGTGTTACAACATATATCAATATGTACTTTCACTGGGGCTTTCGCCAGGGTGTATTTAGAAATCATGTACTTTTTCCAGTGTGTATGAACTAATATTTTGTGTTCATTGTCCAGTGTGGTGTGTCTAAAGTATAAATTCATACTTTCTCTAGTGTGAATGAATTTAATATATTTTTGTACTTGCTCCAATGTGATTTGAGTAATAAATTGAACTTTCTCCAGTTTGTATATATTGACCAAAACATTGTTCATCCTTCCTGTATATAAACAAATATTTTGTTCATTCTCTACTGTGTCTCAACCAATATTTGTTTATTAAACAATTTGTCAGAACCAATAAAATGTACCTAAACCAGTGTGTATGAACAAATTGTATGCACTTTCTACAGTGTGTATGAAGAAACATTACGTTTTCCAGAATGTATGAACCAATACTTTGAACTTACTCCTGGGTGTATGAACAATCATAATTGTGTATTTTCTCCAGTATGTATGAACACATATTATGTACTTCATTTTTTTTATGAACACTCAGTTTGTGTGAACAAATAATGTGTAATTTCTTTAGTGTGTATGAATGCATATTGTCACAAATTATTCATTTTTAAAATTTTTCGTTGTTGTAGTCAAGTGCCATTTTCTTACATTTCATACAGTTAAGACAGTTGAGTATATTCATTGTAATACAGTAATCTATAAACTTTTACTCGTTCGCTCAATCACAACTGCGTGCGTGCTTCCGTATCACGTTCTCATCGGTTAGTGTGTATGCCATATACTGCGGGCGAATCTATAATATACCGCAAGTGAATATTCCAAATTCGTTGCGGAACACGGTATATATTCGTATCATTTTTACCGCGTAACAGCCTTTCGATAAAAACAATGTTTTCCATACGGTCAAATAAATGATACTCGTACAAACTTGGGTCTAAGTTTTTATAGACCGTCATCTTAAAAGGGAGTAAATGTCAGGTTATGGACCACAAAGAGAACTGGCAAAATTGAAATAACCATATCGGGATCATTTTTTGGATTAACTGAACATATCTAAATGTATATAACTATATAATTATAGTTATATCATCAAATATATCTTTTATTTTAGATGTCAATGCCTACGCAGTGTCAAGTTGACAACGCACAAAACTTTTTTGCTGTTGTAACATCCCAAATAAAAAGTGGTTTGCATTGTTGCTATTAAGATATTTGTATACTTTAATCATTCGAAAATGTTGGTCAAAATGGCGGAAATGACAACTTACATCTAACGTGTACACCCGTATATTTTGTCACTGTACGTTGTCGATGGTAAGCCGCAGATTTAGACCAAATTATATGTCAACCAGTGCAATCTATCAACCTATTAATATATGCAAAACACATTCATAAATTGCTGAGTTATGATTACTGTATTCATTGTTATCACAACAAAATATTTTTACCTGAATAATGTCAGACTGTAATTCAGAAAAGGGTTTCAAACTGTCACGTACTACAAGTCTAATATTGAATCGGAGGATTCTATTATGTTACTTATGCAAAATAGAGCCTCTAAGTGCGTTCCTAAGTAATTTCTAAATTACCCATTGCTGATTTTGCAAAATACGTAATCATACGTTGTATTAATCATAAGCGAAAATGATAAAACCTGAACAAAGGGGAGGGGGTCGAAAGAGGGGGATCAATGTGTATATAAGACAAGACAATTTATATGTGACTTGACCTATTTTCCTCAAAAATTCGTCAATTCTCCCCCAGTTCAATGATGTTGTATTTGAGAAATGGCAAAATTCTGAGTAGGGAAATAGGTCAAGTAAGACATACATTGTCATATCTTAATTAGATATTGATCCCCCTCCGTTCGACCCCCCCCCCCTCTCCGTTCAGTTTTACTTATTTTCGATTGTCTTTTTATTTAAAGTATGGTAACGTATTTTACAAACCAGCAATGACATTAATTTTGTAATAATAATGTTACTTACAAATTTTTTTAACAATTCGTGAAGACCACCGTTGTTCGATTTATAGCAAAAACATTGACATTTGCACGTTGGTGACGCTGCTCCTTTTTAATGGATCGTAATCTTATATAGAAGCCTATCGGTTCAAAAAGATAAAAGACCCAGTTACATAGTTCCCCTTGTACTTCACCTATTTATTTAGCAATCCAATTGTAAATCTTTTTCTTGAAAAAATAAATCTTCAAGATTTGTTGAATTTTCTATCAAAAAAGGGCTGATCCTCCCCCTCCGTTCATTTTGTCAGATCACCGGGGGTGAAAGTTTTTGCTACTCTCTATGATAAATCGTGTGACTATGCATCTCCCCTGAAGTTGGGAGGGTGTCTTCCCATTTCGCCCCTTCCCACTTTGCCCCTTCCCATTTCGCCCCTCATTTATTCCCATTTGGCCCCTACCCATTTCGCCCCTTCCCATTTTGCCCTTTTCCCAAATTGCCCCTTTCCCATTTCGCCCCTTTTCCAGTTCGCCCCGTCCCATTATTCCCCCTTCCCATTTCACCCCTCATCCCCCCTTCGCCCCTTCCCATTTCGCCCCTTCCCAATTGGCCCCTTCTCATTTCGCCCCTTCCCCATTGGCCCCTTTCCAATTTCGCCCCTCGTTCATTCCCATTTCGCCTCTTCCCATTTAGCCCCTCATTTATTCCCCTTTCGCCCCTTCCCATTTCGTCCCTACCCATTTCGCCCCTTTCCCTAACGTGTGGTAAAATGCCGTGATGTAGGCTACAGTATCTGACGTCGTATCATTATGTTCTAATTTCACAGCCAAATAATCTGGTAAAATTGACAAAAGATAATCGGATATTTCATTCAATAAATGAGGGGCGAAATGGGAAGGGGCCAATTGGGAAGGGGCGAAATGGGAATAAATGAGAGGCAAAATGGGAAGGGGCGAGATGGGAAGGGGCGAAATAGGAAAGGGGCAAAATGGGACTGTATGAGGGGCAAAATGGGAAGGGGCGAAATGGGAAAGGGGTGAAATGGTAAGGGACCAATTGGGAAGGGGCGATATGGGAATAAATGAGGGGCGAAATGGAAAGGGACAAAATGGGAAGGGGCGAAATGGGAATAAACCGTTGGGAGATATAAAAGATATTGCCGATTTTACATGTAAGTTTGTACTACCTAGTAGTGGTGAATCAACATGCTGAGCCGAGTTTACAATTTTAAGGACAGCCAGTTTTCTTGGGCCAAAACACATAACGACATATTTGCCTGGGTGGAATTCGAATCTCCAGCGAAGACTGTAATCATAAGCTATTTGAAGTAAGCTATTCATTTGATCATGCCCAGTGGTAATAATAGCAAGATAAGAAATACTTTGCTCAAACCATACGTGTCCGAATCCCAGTGAAAAAGCATTTATTCGATTTTTGATGCCCAGGTTCTTTTCCAAGACTGACTATGTAAATCTATTTAACATGGGAGGCAAAAAGTGTACACAATGTAAATTAAACTGGGATCACGCGCCATTGTCTCGGTAAGGGAGTAGTAGGAGTTCGTCTCTTGCCAACAGAATTTTTCGAGCACAATATATCCTGCATTGCACTTCAAATTATTCATTATAGTATTTGCCTGTATCACTTTGAAGCCTACACAAATGGACGAGTCGTATATTTCATGAATCAGACATCAACACGCACAAAGCAACAGATATTAGTAAAGCAAACGCGTAACATTAATCTCACAGATCAATTGATTCTGACACATCCCTTTAGTTCTGTACAAAATAAATCAGCTGAGATTATTGTCATCTGCGTTTATTGTTTAGAAAATCTACATACATGCACGTCAATATAATGAATACTATCTACAAACAGCTTTGTTCATCGTTATCATAATTTACTGAATATCAAGTGACATATCATTTGTGTTGATGACTTTGCTCGTAACGTAGGCATACAGTGGAGTCCATTTCACTGTTTTATTGCGTCAGTAGAACCCAAAAATAAGAAATTGGGAGACCATTGTGCAATAATATATGGAAAAGTATATTCATAATGTACATGAATGACATTTGTATATTTCAGATTTTTTTAGTTTTTTGTGCAATAAGCCTGTGCCCTCTATTAATTTAAAGAATTTCGGCCATGTTAATCTTATTGAAAATAACATGGCAGAGAAGCATCCAAATATAAGAGGTCACACACTTTATAACCCAAACTAGAAGCAATCCAAGATATACAAATGTCATTCATATACAATAGGAATACATTTTCCTCATATTATTGCATTATGATATTTTGATTTCTTATTTTTTAGCTTTTACTGACGTAAATAAAGTGAAATGGACTCTAGGTGTGATATCTCAGATTTGATTGGTTGAAAACATGCACATGTATAATACAGCAATATCCAGTCCAATCGCTTCCTTTTATATACAAGTAGTTTTGAATAATGAAGGCTGTCTGGTTCAGTCATAATGATTTGATCAATTGTGAACAACCATTGCATTTTTCAATATTTTTAGTATAATATTTAATATAATAATAATATATAATATACCGCTTTGGTTCGTTTTTCATATTTCTCAGACTTATTTCTTAGCTTTACAAGATTACATCGAAAACCACCTTATATTAGATCTTCTAGCAGGAAAGAACAGTGAGTTCTTACAAAGTGAGTTTTATCATTTACCAGTGTATTATTTAAAGTATAATGATAGACTAAGATTACAAAATAACCAAACAAAACTTATTTAGTAGTTAAGAGTAATGCACGTGTTGCCGAAATTATTTATATTGCACAAAGTACAAAAGTATTATTGATAGCAACAAGGACTGGGCCTCTCTTGAGAAGATACACCATCACACGGACTGCCTCTTTTGTGGAGATTCTCATCTTCACCATCATTGCTTCTTCGTTGAACACAGATAGGGCAAAACCGTGTTCGGCTACATATTTGCGTTCCAGATATACTGCAATCGCTGAGAGATGCCGAGTTCACATCTGGTTGACAGGCCTTGCACACCCATGCATTCCATTGTCCCCAAACTCCACAGTCTACGAGGATTAAATCATTGTAAATTGGTCATAAAATTGATGCATATATATGGCTGCTTTGAGTTGAACATGGCAATAATTGTTGCAGAGATAGAAGAAGCCATGTAATGGCTCTCTTTTGTATGTGAACTTTGTCAATATTAAATAATAATCACAAATTAAACGCTCGTATTAGAATTAAAAAATTGAAAAATATTTGTTTCTGTCGACATATATCACTATTTACAATTTTCCCAATAAGCTTTTTTGTTGTTTTTGTTGAAAACGTCTGACCATGCTATTCGCTCAGTAGGGCATATTAATCTTTTTCGCGATACCCGGAAAGATAACTCGACATATTAATATTGCGCAATTGACTTGTGCCGCTGGCATTAAAAACGCAGCCTAAATATCTTTCTTTTGTTTCTTAGTAAAATACTGACGTGTATATTCTTTAAGATAACAGACAACTTACTGTTACACAATTGGGTATTACAAATAGCAGTCTCGGTTGCGACAGCTTCGCCTAAGCAAGATGGCGCACCACCAACAACAGTGTTTCTAGTCCTTGAACGTGTACTTGAGGAAATTCCTCCGCCACACGACTTTGAGCATGGTCCAATTGACCAAATACTCCACAGACTCCATTCACATCCTAACAATTTTATAGTATATATATATGACTGGGGTCACCATACTCCAAGAGTATGATATATTTTCATATATATGACTGAAAATATAAACATATCGTGTTCCCACTAGAGTCGTGGTATACATGATGAATTATCTTATTGGTATACATGTACCATTAGATTGTAACATATTATAAGGAACACAATCAGATAAATTACATAGGTCTACCATCTATCACAAGGGAAAATAATCTCTCGGTTCTTAATCTAGAGGGCGTTCACTAAAGAAGTACAGGTATACCCAAATTCAAAGCCAGTTTTCTAGAATCCTCTCCAATATTTTTTTCAATGTAAAGGTAGCAGTAAAGTCCATTCTGCCGCAAACAAGTATTACATGTATCAATACCCCCAAAACCCTCGCGTTTTTTATTTCATATGATGAAAAGGGAGAAGAAAAGATACTTTATGGACATCATCTATATTGATGGAACATCTGAATTTCTTCTTCGTTTTCTTTATTATCGTTAATAATTTCACTATATATAAAAAACTATATAAATAAAGAATTATGAATTAATGAAATAAAAAACAGTAACATGACTATATATGGAATAAGTTGAATACCTTTACATGGTTCATTAAAACATGTTTCTGTTCTATTATCTTGAGCGTCACCGAGGCAGTCTGTTGAAAAATCTCCTATGCCCCAAAGTTTTGATCTCGATCGAGTTATGGTTTTAACTCCTGAACCACAAGTATGAGAACATTCGCCAGAACTCCATTCTTCCCAATTACCCCACTTACAGGCTGCAATGCAAGAAAATACAGGGTGTCCATGAAGTATATACACTTTACACAGACTCTGTAATTGTAATTGTAAAGAGACGCTGCGGATACCTTGTAGATTGATGGAAAAACATTTACAAATAGTTTGTTTATTTTACGATTTGTTAATGCTACAAACACGCATATTGTTTATATGCAGTTGCATTTTACAATTTCCTAAAGTTAGAATAATCATATTTGAGATATTTCTTTTTAAAGAAATAATTAGTTTGATACGATTGGATATTTTGCTAGAATATTATCAAACGGTGAAGTAAATTCTGTCAAAAAATTCCTGGGAAAATGAAAACTTGCTGAAAACGCGGAAAACAAAAATGTTAAAATTATTCTTCTGACATATTCGCCATTTTTAGAAATCAAGGGTTTATTAAAATTGAAAAGACAACAGTAAGTCAACCTGTGTTATTAGAGAGCATTATAAAAACATCGAAAAACGCCAACCTATACGCATGGCCAGTCGCCCATACAAATACATCGCTAAAATACTTTCCGTTCGCGTTGACAGATTGTGAAAAACATTGCAAGCTTAATATCCCTGATATTTATAATGAAAAACTCGTATACAGGCTAGTTTTACATAAAAAATTAAGTCACAATCTGAAACTACAGGGTGTCAAATAAATCCCGTCCCCCCTCTAAAGCCAAAACCAAGATATTTGGTACCAAGTGTGATATATCATTGGAAAGGTCTTCCAAAGTTACGTTGATTGGCATATATCTGACACATGTCAATCAATCTCTCAAATTTTTAAATTGTATCAATTGAGGTGACCATATGCCCAGAAACATGACAATTTGGCGTATTTGGCAGGATTTTAAGAATCGGGTATAAGAAAGGTCAAGGGACCAAAAGACGACTAAATATGTTTATGGCGATGAATTTAACCAATTTCTGGATAGGGTAAGATGCGTAAAAAATAGAGGGGCAAGGAAAGTGGTGAAAACCTTTTTGAAACAAGTGGAATGCGAAAAGGATTAACTTTTTGACGTATTTCTGAGGTAATATCCTTGTCATTTTGCCGCAAAAAAGCTACTTAAAGGAGGGCACATTAACTATAAAAGACATCATAAAAATATAGAAAAATTAGATCCAAAATACTTGAGAGTTGTTGAGTTAACATAACTTTGGATGATATTTCCAATGGTATATCACACTAGGTACCGTCTGTTAAGGTTTTAGCTGTAGCAGGGGGGACGGGACTTATTTGACACCCTGTATATCAAAAAATTGTAAACCATATAAACATGACATTGTTTTATATGGAATAAGTTGAATACCTTTACATGGTTCATTAAAACATGTTTCTGTTCTATTATCTTGAGCGTCACCGAGGCAGTCTGTTGAAAATTCTCCTATGCCCCAAAGTTTTGATCTCGATCGAGTTATGGTTTTAACTCCTGAACCACAAGTATGAGAACATTCGCCAGAACTCCATTCTTCCCAATTACCCCACTTACAGGCTGCAATGCAAGAAAATACAGGGTGTCCATGAAGTATATACACTTTACACAGACTCTGTAATTGTAATTGTAAAGAGACGCTGCGGATACCTTGTAGATTGATGGAAAAACATTTACAAATAGTTTGTTTATTTTACGATTTGTTAATGCTACAAACACGCATATTGTTTATATGCAGTTGCATTTTACAATTTCCTAAAGTTAGAATAATCATATTTGAGATATTTCTTTTTAAAGAAATAATTAGTTTGATACGATTGGATATTTTGCTAGAATATTATCAAACGGTGAAGTAAATTCTGTCAAAAAATTCCTGGGAAAATGAAAACTTGCTGAAAACGCGGAAAACAAAAATGTTAAAATTATTCTTCTGACATATTCGCCATTTTTAGAAATCAAGGGTTTATTAAAATTGAAAAGACAACAGTAAGTCAACCTGTGTTATTAGAGAGCATTATAAAAACATCGAAAAACGCCAACCTATACGCATGGCCAGTCGCCCATACAAATACATCGCTAAAATACTTTCCGTTCGCGTTGACAGATTGTGAAAAACATTGCAAGCTTAATATCCCTGATATTTATAATGAAAAACTCGTATACAGGCTAGTTTTACATAAAAAATTAAGTCACAATCTGAAACTACAGGGTGTCAAATAAATCCCGTCCCCCCTCTAAAGCCAAAACCAAGATATTTGGTACCAAGTGTGATATATCATTGGAAAGGTCTTCCAAAGTTACGTTGATTGGCATATATCTGACACATGTCAATCAATCTCTCAAATTTTTAAATTGTATCAATTGAGGTGACCATATGCCCAGAAACATGACAATTTGGCGTATTTGGCAGGATTTTAAGAATCGGGTATAAGAAAGGTCAAGGGACCAAAAGACGACTAAATATGTTTATGGCGATGAATTTAACCAATTTCTGGATAGGGTAAGATGCGTAAAAAATAGAGGGGCAAGGAAAGTGGTGAAAACCTTTTTGAAACAAGTGGAATGCGAAAAGGATTAACTTTTTGACGTATTTCTGAGGTAATATCCTTGTCATTTTGCCGCAAAAAAGCTACTTAAAGGAGGGCACATTAACTATAAAAGACATCATAAAAATATAGAAAAATTAGATCCAAAATACTTGAGAGTTGTTGAGTTAACATAACTTTGGATGATATTTCCAATGGTATATCACACTAGGTACCGTCTGTTAAGGTTTTAGCTGTAGCAGGGGGGACGGGACTTATTTGACACCCTGTATATCAAAAAATTGTAAACCATATAAACATGACATTGTTTTATATGGAATAAGTTGAATACCTTTACATGGTTCATTAAAACATGTTTCTGTTCTATTATCTTGAGCGTCACCGAGGCAGTCTGTTGAAAATTCTCCTATGCCCCAAAGTTTTGATCTCGATCGAGTTATGGTTTTAACTCCTGAACCACAGGTACGAGAACATTCACCAGAACTCCATTCTTTCCAATTATTCCATATACAGACTGTAATGCAAGAATAAACAGGGTGTTCATGAAGTCTCTACAGTTCACACAGACGTTGTACTGTAATTGTAAAGAGATGTTATGGATACCATGTATATTGATGGAAAATCTATGTGAATTGTTTTTTATTTATGATTTTGCTTAACTACAATCATTACTTTATTACAATTACAAATCAAGTGTTATTTGCCCGTTGTTCATCAAAATTCAGCATTCATTGAAACCGAAAAAACAATCATGGTCAATAAACAAGCGTTATTCTGTATGAAAAAATTATATACACGCAGATATATCTTCTCTGCTTTCTGACACACGATGCATCATCCATAACGTTTTGCATCCCGTTGTACCTCTCAGATGAATTTGCTTTATGTTATTCCATTGGTTTACGTTTCATTGCACTTTCTTTTAGCTCATGATCATTCGAATAGAACCGTGCTGAATCAATGAATTTTGATAATCAAGTTAATGCATTTCATTTACCAGGACATCCTTGCTCATAACATACATCTGTTTTCTGTTGCTCTGTCTCCCCATTACACACAGGCGATAGTCCTCCAGTACCAAACTGCATGGTCCTTGCCCTATATTTGTTGATCACTCCGTTTCCGCAAGTTCTTGAGCACTGATCACCATTTTTGTTGGACCACATTGTCCATTCCGACCATTCGCAACCTTAAGACAACAATGTTTGTCATAAAATATCTTAATTTTTAATAACAGTCGATTATTCTTCTGTAAACGCCCCTAACATTAAACTATGTTAAACCATTAAAAACTTTGAAGGACTTGTCTTATTAATTTGCTTACTGAGACAAGGATTTTGTTTGCACTTCTTGACTCTGCTTTGCTGGGATTCCCCTTTGCAACGTTGCGAGTCGCCATTTTTACTGAAAATCTGAATTCGATTCCGAGTTTGACTTTTCCTGCCAACCCCACATGTGCTTGAACAGACATTGCCCTTCCAGCGGCTCCATCTACTCCAAGAACAACCTATTGTTGCAAAGGAATAATAAAAAACATATCAACCTTTAGCAGCAAGACTGGAAGAACCTTTCTTGTAGCTATGAGGAAGTAATTCACAGGGCTGTTTTAATATTCCCATTGACTGTATTTGTGTATACCCGCGGTGCTTGTGAATTGCGTAATGTTTTAATAAGTTTCTTCCCAGGTTTCACTAAAAAGAACAATAAGCCCTGTAGTGCTCTTATTTGTTTTCAACAAAAAGGTCATTCAAGCGGACTGACACACGGTTGACAGACACAAGCAGCCGACAATGTTGTCACAGCGAAAAAAGCAGTTTAAAGATATGCTATACAGATATGTAGGTCAGTATTACATAATCGTGAAATGAATAAGTCTGAATATATCATTGGTCAGAAAACACTAAAACCTGCTTGAAACTGTAAAAGTTTATACACTCTATTCCACACTGTATAGAAATGAAATAACTTACACTATAAGTAACTGTGAGCCAATCATTGCATAGAAAAAACTTTATGCACTGTTTATAAGATTCACTGAGACAAGTGGGTCAATACTTCATGTACTTTATGTGCTCTCACACAATTACCTTCCCTTGCATAAAGTTGCTGTACAGTTATATGTAACTGAATATTGTATATTCATCACAAACAACCTTAGCAAAATGATGGTTCGACGAAATGGACGGTTCGCTAAAACCAATAAACCAGGCAATCCAGGCCAATTTGGAAAGAAACTAGATAGCGTGATAGCGAATGAGGATAGTAAGTGAAATATATTTTGCAAAGGTCAGCTTGTAAACTACTGGGTAACCCTAAATTATGAGAAATATGTACAAAATATGTTTTGCATGATTTATTCATATCCCAATGATTTAACTCCTTCACTGCATCTAATAAGGTATATACTTAGGTGGTTCAAAAAGTTTTGCAGTTGATGCCATAACTTAAAGGAAAATAGGACTTTTACAATGAAACTTGGTACACACTACACATATGTGTTATACATTTATACATTATATGTTAAAAGGAAGAGGTGCGATTATTGGCAAATACCCCTATGGTCAAAATGAATAATTGTTAGGTGTAACATGAAGAATAGAATGTCATATAACTCTTTGGAAAATATTAAAATGCTCGGGCACACATAGGCTGAGATAGGGGCCATTTAGTTTAGTAAGGTTGTATTGCCTTACATGGGGCTGTGCTTCATTGACTTAACATGAGGATATCAGCAGATCCCAATAGAGGCCATTGGTTTCTATTGATTATCACACAAATACCAAAAATACACTATGACCTGAATCGATTGCAAACTTAATAATTTCACAATATGGCACTAATGGTTTATCTCATCAAATGTGCAAATATGAAGTTTGCAATCGATTTAGGTCATACTTTAAATTAAAAGATTGTACATTTTTTCATCATTTTTTCCCTACAAAATGGCTTTAGAAAAATGCTCCAAAAACAACTTTTACACTTATCAAAAATCATACAACTTTGTAAAACCAAAGAATATACTATTTTATTTCATTATGTAGTAACATATTTGGATAAGATGTAGGGATGCGTAGGATGCAAATGGATTTTGACAGACACAAAAATACTTCCTGGTTTGGAATCATATGCCTCTTCACTTCATGATTGAATTATGACCCTAATAAGTGGCCTATACATCAATTCAGTGCTGAATATATCTCAACAAGATACTAGTTTGCATATAAATGTAATAATTAAAGCAGAATACTCATTTTGAAAAATCAGATGAATTATTTTTTTCTCATGTGGAGATCCCAATGGAGGATGTATTAGGTCCTTTGGGACCTCAATTTTGATTGGTTCTTGAGAGATGGTTGCTAAGGTAACCAGAGTGGTGGGTACCATGTTCAACCTGAAATTACGTTTTTCCAAATAGTTTTCTTGCTTGAATAAACTCTTTGCAAAGTGGCAATTAGCAGGTGTAAGTGTCTTTGGGTGGCTATTTTTCTTCAAATTCTTCAATTTTTTGCCAGTTGTCAACACATTCTGGCAATGCTTTAATTTTAATAGAATTATTTTAATATTTTACTAACTGTATAATATGTAATTTGCATTACTGTTGATAAATAAATAAATGATTGCACTGGTTACCCTGTAGTAGTGAAAGGCACATTAAAAATGAATATCACCCCCTTCAATCTATTTTTACAGGTTTTTATGATTATTTCAGATTTTTATATAGTTTGCGTAACCAGGACGGTGAATTTTCTTCATTTTTCATCAAACATTTTGTCTTACCAATATTTATTATATCTGTCAATTTTATCAAGATCGCGCCGCTACGTTTGAAAATAATTTAAATTATGTAGTTTTTCCCATTGAGCTCCATTATAAAAATGGAATTTTCAAACTTAATATTTTAAAATTCTACGCGGTGAAAAGTTGCATATTGAGTAGTTAGTTAATGTTATGGTGTTAAAAATTCAAAACAAAAAGGAATAAAGAAAAAATGCCACAGAGAAGTCTCAATAGAGTCTCTTTAAGTGCGCTTGGATGAACTGCTTTTGTTGAAAAAGTGTGAGCATGTAATTTTCAATGCATAAACTTATTGTTATTTTTCGTGATACCCAGGGGGAATACTAATTATGTATTGTGCAGTGGACTAGCCCGCGGGCAGTTCAAAAAACGCATTCTTGATATCTGAATATGTTTCAAAATCAATACATAATCTACAGAAAGTAGAGGACACGCTGCTATTAAAAAGGTGCATGGTCGTGCATTAATCAAAGCATTTTTATAAAAGAGAGATTTCTCAACTTACTTAAGCGTATATATATGATGCGCAGCTCATGATAGAGCTGCGAAATAAATAATGACGGTATCAAACGCTTTAAATGTTATATGGGAGTAATAAACATGCTATAGGTGAGTTGCAATTTTTTCTGTTCGTTTACACTTATTTACCTTTTTATTTACAAAGGGGCGTTTTCATTTAATTTATACTACACTATAGCTAAATACAAAAAGTATAAAATCAAACCAGACATGAGCGTTGTCCTACTTACATCGTGGCTCACACGTCTCTTTCTTTGAGTCACGCTCCATGTGAAGTATTGCTTTACAAATATCGCCATTATCATCAGGTCCATAGTCCCGCCTTTCCCGGATCCGTGTGCAAATTCTTTTTCCAATACCACATTGACATGTTTGACATGACCAGCTTGACCACGGTTCATCAGGGCATTCTAATTGATGACGCAGAGAATATGGATTTATATTTAGAATTGAGAACAACATAATATTTTACACTGAAGCATATTTTTTGTTTGGAATTCGTCAGATAACAGATCAACAAATTATTAATTCAAAACAAACAAAAAATATCTGTACCTCCTTTTTGAGCAGGCAAACAACGACATTTGTTATATTCGATTATGTTGAAAGTAAAAGTAGGTTCACATTTCATTGGTATTGGTTTGTCATCAGACACTTCTTTTACAGAATAATCTCGTCCCCCGAGAGAGACGTACCACTTTCTGTCTCTACAACAGGCTAATGGAGGATTTCCTCCGTACCTAGGATCACTTTCAGGCGGACACTCTTCTACAATGTAAAATAAAAATACCCTTATCGTGATACGAAATGACTGGTTTGAATTCAATATGCTAAACTGATATTGGCATAGGCCCGAGAACATGTAAAATTAATACAGACAGAAGTTTTTTCCAATTACCCAAATGCGAGTAGGTAGTTACCAGCTTCACCACCAGGTGGCTGATTCGGGTCAATTAACATGGCAGGTATATAAGAAAGTTCCCTTAAACTTGAATATTATCAATTTAAGTGGCTCAATTTTCATATAACCCTTATGTGTCTTATACTTATACTAATGAAAATATGTCCAGTAAAGCAAAATATTATCTGTCCACTAAAAGAAAAGATATTTCATTTTTTGTGATTTTATAGCATGGGGTCTATGGGGAATCTCCCCGAGCTAGAAGTCACATTTTCAAAGAAAATCAATTTTTCAAAGTTGATAAACACTTTTTAAAACCACATTTCTAGATGTAATTTTACATGTAGAATTCAAATATGATATTACTTTGACTGAATTTTGAATTTTTAATGACGTAAATCAAGATTATTTCTACTCGCATCTGGGTTATTGGAGCTTGATCGACTCTTCTAGGAATCGTTTTAGGGTACTAGTCTCCGATTTGACAAACATAGAATTGCATTAATTATACATGTATCTGGTCCTATGGATATAGGCGAAGTAATTAATTGAATTTTTTGTTCGGAGTCTATGCATAATGTTGATTATAAGTACCCAGAGCAATGTACGGTTTACACAAATACAAGTTGGGATCATATTTCACTTTCATCTTGGTATAATCTTTATGGAAATGCTTCCAAGTCTCCCCATTGACTGTATCCCCTCATTTGGATAACGAGGCATCAGATTCGAATTCAGTATCTCGAGAGTTTCGCACAAATGCCTGTACCTTGGTGTAGCCCATATATCTCACCTTCCTTTATTCTACAGCATTGTTCTGATTTATGTTGAATGGATGCACCGATGCATTGTTTTTCTCCAATATTAACGGAACAAGTACAAGTCCTAGTTCGATTACATGTTCTTCTTCCATACTCAGGACATGATCCAACCACTGTACCATCAGTTTCCTGGATATCTGACTGCATACATGAGCTGAATTTCCATTCACCCCACTCAGTCCATTCACACGTACCTAGTGTAAAATGAATTCTCGAAATCGTTGTTCCCTCTTCAAAAGAGAAGACGCGAAAATCTTTCCTTATAAGGGCAAAATATTTCCCATGATGCAGTTCGCGGAGGAACAAATTTATACTTCCTTATTTTCCCTCATAGGTTTAACATGGGGATTTTCACACCTATTTTTCAAACGATATATTCGTTCATATTCCCGTACGAGAGTACAGAAAAAATTATTAGAAACGATTGATCTCTCATTAATCTTAATATAACAGCTATTTTTTTCATTGTATTAATTCATAGCGTGGTGAAAACGATGATTGAAAAGTGAGAAAATATCCCGGAAGAGAAGGTCACGTGATCAGTAGACTAGTCGCCATATTGGAAAAAACAATTCCATTCGACTTTCAATACTTTCATGCCAATCTTACCGCACTACAAACTGCGACATCGATGCAACAACTGAACAAAAGTATTCATCTTCAAATTACATTATAGAGTTACGTTGAAAACCCACAAACAACTGAGCAGTAGACCAAAGAAGACGCGTCGCTATTATCTAGGTCAATCTGTTCAGTGGTCCGAAAGCAAATCTATAGTACTCGTTTCCGAATTTTGTTGTTCATTGTACAATCTTTTATTGATTAAACTCGGTATACTGACCATTAAAGCAATGACAAAGAAGAATACTTACGATGGTGTCATTGTTTTATTTAGCGTGCGGGTGTAAAAACAAAATTGAGCAATTAGTTTGATTTAGAACTTTCGTGTCACGCAAATAGCTACGCGAAATGCATAGTGGGAAAATATTGACCAATCAAATTTTGTCCTTTTTGAGTGCTTTTTCAGTGCATATTTGCGAACGTTCTGATTCAAAGAGCGAACCGCGAAAAGGAGAATTCACGTATCTTTAAAAGTGTATCTAATTGCTCTGCGTAAACCACACTCGGTGTAATCAAAACGACAACGTAATGTTTGCAGTTTCGATCTGATGGTAGCACATTTCCTAGTTTGTTTGTTTTTTAAATACGACGATGTTATCAAATGTATGTTGATGTTATCAACTGGTAATCAAACTGGCCTTCCTCCGTTTATTTGCATGTTTTTATGTAAAATAGTGGCAGGTGTGTGGCGACCGTGGCTGGATTGTTATAAACCTACAAAAACCTTAATATGTGAACCATTCTGTACAATAACTCCCAAAGAATTCAGGGTCAAGCATTGTTTTTATGATAGGGATAAAGTATGAGTATTGGGTTTTAGGAGGAATAATACAAAAACTTTATACAGTTTATCCAACTTAAACCACAGTAATGATACATTATAGACGCTCGTGAATACTGTACATTCATACAAAAAGTTACTCTAAAAATAATATTCAAAAACATAAATCATAAAATCATGTGTACCTTCGTCTCCACTTGGAGGCAAACAACGGCAATTGTTATAATTAGATATTGTAAAATTAAAGGTAGGATCACATTTCATTGGTATTGGTTTGTCATCAGACACTTCTCTAACGGTGTAATCTCCTCCGCCAAGAGGGACGTACCACTTCCCGTCCATACAGCAAGATGTTAGAGGGTTTCCTCCATACCCTGGGTCACCTTTAGGGGGACACTCTTCTGCAATGTAAAATATAACATTGAAAAATTGATGGGAAATCCCCTCGATTATGATTAGGATTATTGAAAAGAAAATAATATGTAACATGAATCATGTCCTGTTGATATTGGTAAAAGGAGTGGGATATGAAAAAACGTTATATGTGACACAGTTAAGGTCTATCATTGTTTGCCACATCAATTTAGCTTACTAATCTGGATTTGAAAAAATAATAAACTAGCTACCACGTGCTTTTAATATCAAATGGCCATTTACATGAATTAATCATTCACAGCCAGGACAGATGAATACCAGGGTAGATTCGGACAATATATCTTTTAGACTATCGTCACTAGTTTAAACTACATTGATTAGCCAGAAACGGTTCTAATTTGAATCTTATTTGAAAAGCACCCAAATATCCTACCTTCTTTTAATCGACAACATTGCTCAGATTTATGTTGAATTGATGCTCCAACACATTGCGAATCTCCGGCATCTGTAGGACAAGTACAAGTCCTAGTTCGATTACATGTTCTTCTTCCGTACTCTGGACATGATCCAATGACTGTACCATCATTTTCCTGAATATCTGACTGCATACAAGAGCTGAATATCCATTCACCCCACTCAGTCCATCCACACGTGCCTGGTGCAAATTAAATTCATGTATCATTAATTTCAAACAGGGTATCTCGGCGTTCAATAGCTGAGTTACAAAACCTGAAGACAATGTAATCAAAACATTAATGTAACGTTTGTCGATTCTATTCGTTGATTGCAACTTCCCCCAGTAAGTTTTCAGTTTATATTCAAATTCCGCGCGCAACCTTGCATGTAAAAATTACTATGTTTACTAATGCTTTTTGTTCCAAATTGGTATCTTTTCATTTCACAAATATATTAATGGCTGGTACTTATACGGCAATCATATTGATAGGAAGGAAAGCTATAAGAACAACTCATTTTGTTAATCATTCAGTATAGTAGAACAATGCAAATACGAGAAAAAATGCTTTACCTTAAGATGATGCTCAAGGTCACGTATGGATACTATAGATTCATTTATAATCAATATGGAATAATATATAAGAACGTAAACTAGTTGAATTGATTCATTTGTACCTTCGTCTCCAGTTGGAGGTGAACAGCGGCAATTGTTATATTTAGATATTGTAAAATTAAAGGTAGGATCACATTTCATTGGTATTGGTTTGTCATCAGACACTTCTCTAATGGTGTAATCTCTTCCGCCAAGAGGGACGTACCACTTCCCGTCCATACAGCAAGATGTTGGAGGGTTTCCTCCATACCCTTGGTCACCTTCAGGGGGACACTCTTCTGCAATGTAAAATATAACATTGAAAAATTGATGGGAAATCCCCTCGATAATGATTAGGGTTATTGAAAAGAAAATAATATGTAACATGAATCATGTCCTGTTGATATTGGTAAAAGGAGTGGGATATGAAAAAACGCTATCTGTGACACAGTTAAGGTCTATCATTGTTTGCCACATCAATTTAGCTTACTAATCTAGATTTGAAAAAATAATAAACTAGCTACCACGTGCTTTTAATATCAAATGGCCATTTACATGAATTAATCATACACAGCCAGGACAGGTGAATACCAGGATAGACTCGGACAATATATCTTTTAGACTATCGTCACTAGTTTAAACTACATTGATTAGCCAGGAACGGTTCTAATTTAATTCTTATTTGAAAAGCACCCAAATATCCTACCTTCTTTTAATCGACAACATTGCTCAGATTTATGTTGAATTGATGCTCCAACACATTGCAAATCTCCGATATCTGTAGGACAAGTACAAGTCCTAGTTCGATTACATGTTCTTCTTCCATACTCAGGACATGATCCAACGACTGTGCCATCATTTTCCTGAATATCTGACTGCATACATGAACTGAATATCCAATCACCCCACTCAGTCCATCCACACGTGCCTGATGCAAATTAAATTCATGTATCATTAATTATAAACAGGGTATCTCAGCGTTCAACAGCTGAGTTACCAAACCTGAAGACAATGTAATCAAAACATTAATGTAACGTTTGTCGATTCTATTCGTTGATTGCAGCTTCCCCCAGTAAGTTTTCAGTTTATATTCAAATTCCGTGCGCAACCTTGCATGTAAAAAATTATTATGTTTACTAATGCTTTTTGTTCCAAATTGGTATTTTTCATTTCACAAATATATTAATGGCTGGTACTTATAAGGCCATCATCTTGAAAGGAAGGAAAGCTAATAAGAACAACTCATTTTGTTAATCATTCAGTATAGTAGAACACTGCAAATACGAGAAAAAATGCTTTACCTTAAGATGATGCTCAGGGTCACGTATGGATACTATAGATTCATTTATAATCAATATGGAATAATATATAAGAACATAAACTAGTTGAATTGATTCATTTGTACCTTCGTCTCCAGTTGGAGGTGAACAGCGGCAATTGTTATATTTAGATATTGTAAAATTAAAGGTAGGATCACATTTCATTGGTATTGGTTTGTCATCAGACACTTCTCTAACTGTGTAATCTCTTCCTCCAAGAGGGACGTACCACTTTCTGTCCATACAGCAAGCTGTTGGAGGGGTTCCCCCGTACAGTGGGTCACCTTCGAGTGGACACGAATCTAAAATGTAAGATATTATAGATTACAGCAATGCTGTATTACTACAAACGAATCTTATTGGTATACATATCATTGATAAGCCGCAAATATTTTAGCAATAAATAATAGAAGAAATGTGTATTTCGTCGAATTGAGCTTTTGATAATTCAGAAGTAACCCGCTTAAATTGTAAATTAAAGTATTTAAATTTGCACTAAAATATATACGTCTTTTGTCGACTTAATTAATGCTCTTTACGTTGATGTGTCTGGCGTCCATGCACTTTTCTAAATAAACGTTACTGAACATATAGGGTGTTTAAGCTTGCACAACCTTAAAGCCCCCGATAAATCGGGCTACGTATACCGCCGTGTTTACATTAGGGGATTAGAAGAGTTTATTTTTTACTTAGGTATGCAAGCAATATCAATATTAGGCCTTCATGCATGTACTCGTGTGTACAATCAGCATGCCCTTTAATATTATATAAGCCAGGCTATTCAAGTACAACATAATGTACACTATTTATGTGTGTACTATATGGGAATACGAGTCCCTGGGAAACAAAACACAAATACTTTTTATATGTTCAAAATGAGCCATTTGATCGATGCATACACTTAATACCCTCATATATAAACATCTACAAAGTATATCTAATAGTCATTTTCAATTCCAATGGTGAAACTTGCCTGGTTACGATTATACGGGAAATTAACACGAGACGATAGTTGTACACCTTCCTGGCTTACCTCTGAAGCCTGTACCCTGTAATCTCTTTATATAGGTTAGCGAGAGCGCTGCGCCTGCGCAGTTTTAAATTTTGGCGCACACTTTAACGTGAACGGAAAGTATTTAACGATTCATTTATATAGGCGATTGGTCATACGAATAGCTTGGCGTTTCGATTTTATATGCAAGCTTAAACTCCATTATAATGAGAATTACAGTGACACAAATGCAACATTTTAGGAAATATTTCTGAGGGATCACATTTACACTTTGAAAGATGTAAACTTAATCTGAACAGCAACTGTCATATTCTGTAACTCAAAACTAGTGTTTTATACCGATGACTTCATCTTGTTCAAGCCCATATATCTCACCTTCTTTTAATCTACAACATTGCTCAGATTTATGTTGAATTGATGCTCCAACACATTGCGAATCTCCGACATTTGTAGGACAAGTACAAGTCCTAGTTCGATTACATGTTCTTCTTCCATACTCTGGACATGATCCAACGACTGTACCATCAGTTTCCTGGATATCTGACTGCATACATGAGCTGAATATCCATTCACCCCACTCAGTCCATCCACACGTGCCTGGTGCAAATTAAATTCATGTATCATCAATTATAAACAGGGTATCTCAGCGTTCAACAGCTGAGTTACCAAACCTGAAAACAATGTAATCAAAATAACGCAACGTTTGTCGATTCTATTCGTTGATTGCAACTTTCCCCAGTAAGTTTTCATTTTATATTCAAATTCCGCGCGCAACCTTGCATGTAAAAAATTACGATGTTACTTGCTTTTTGTTCCAAATTGGTATTTTTTTCATTTCACAAATATATTAATGGCTGGTACTTATAAGGCCATCATCTTGAAAGGAAGGAAAGCTTAAGAACAGCTCATTTTGTTAAGCATTCAGTATAGTTGCTTCCAAGAAAAATGCAAATACGAGAAAAAATGGTTTACCTTCAGATGATGCTCAAGGTCACGTATGAATACTACAGGGTGGGCCAAAAACGCAACTTTTTTTTCAAGACACTACAACTTTTTTATTTTCCAACCTACATACCCCAAATTTTGCAGTTATATAGTGCCAGGGGTTCTGAGTTATAATATAATGTAACAAATTCCTCAACTTGGATTATATTTCATCTAAAAGAGGAGTTCAGTTGGTCCACCACCCTATTTGATTTTCAACCTGTCTTAATAGCCAGCTTTAGTTGAATAATTTTCAAGATTGGATGGCTTCATACAATCTACTGTAGACCTTCAATACCCTATATTCACTGGGGTTTGCATCAGGACTATTAGCTTGGCGATCATCAGGCCATATCAGTTCAGAAACATTTTGCAAATTATGCTTATTTCTCATGGCACACCACCTGTTTAAGTGAGACGCTGGTGACATATTCAAGTAAAAGTGCATAAATCATGATCCATGGCTAGATAACAACCTCAAGTTTCATTCGGTATGCAAATTATGATTTTGTATCAACAATTAAAAAAGTTATTTTTAAAATAAAAGTGGCGTTTTTTGGCCCACCCTATATAGATTCATTTATAATCAATATGGAATAATATATTAGAACATAAACTAGTTGAATTGATTCATTTGTACCTTCGTCTCCAGTTGGAGGTGAACAGCGGCAATTGTTATATTTAGATATTGTGAAATTAAAGGTAGGATCACATTTCATTGGTATTGGTTTGTCATCAGATATTTCTCTAATGGTGTAATCTCTTCCTCCAAGAGGGACGTACCACTTTCCGTCCATACAGCAAGCTGTTGGAGGGTTTCCTCCATACCGTGGGTCACCTTCAAGTGGACACGAATCTACAATGTAAGATATAATAGATTTTAGAAATACTGTCTTACTATAAATGAATCGTATTGGTATACCTATTATTATCCTAAGCCGCAAATACTTTAGCAATGGATATAAGATAAGAAATGTGTATTATGTTTTCGAATTGAGCTTTTGATAATTCAGAAGTAAATTGTGAATTAAAGTATTTAAATTTGCACTAAAATATATTGTCTTTTGTCGACGTAATTATTGCTCTTTTGCTCCGTATCTTTGATATGGGAAATAAAGAATACAATATAGGTGATTGATCATACACATAGCTTGGCGTTTCGATCTTATATGCAAGCTTAAACTCCCTTATAAGACAACATGGTACGATTGACAGTGACACAGATGCAAAATTTTAGAAAATATTTCTGGGAGGGATCACATTTACACTTAATTTGGCGTAAACGTAATCTGAATAGCAAATGTTACATTCTGTAACTCAAAACGAGTGTTTTATACCGATGTCTGTTTCTTGTTGTAGTCAATATATCTCACCTTCTTTTATTCTACAACATTGTTCGGATTTATGTTGAATTGATGCTCCGACACATTGCGAATCTCCGACATTTGTAGGACAAGTACAAGTCCTAGTTCGATTACATGTTCTTCTTCCATACTCAGGACAAGGTTCAACGATTGTACCGTCAGTTTCCTGGATATCTGACTGCATACATGAGCTGAATATCCATTCACCCCACGCAGTCCATCCACACGTGCCTGGTGCAAATTAAATTCATGTATCATCAATTATAAACAGGGTTTCTCAGTGTTCAACAGTTGAGTTGCAAAAGCAGAGAACAATGTAGTCAAAACATTAACAAAAGGTTTATCATTTTGATTCATTGATTGCACATTGCCTACATGAAGTTCGTTATATTATCCTATATTCAAATGCCGCAACCATGTCAAATAATTACGATGCTAACTCGTTTTGTTCCAAATTGGTTTTTCTTTTGGTCTTTTTGATAATATTCGTTAAAAGAAGAACGCCTAAGAACCTTATTTTCTGAATCATTCAGTATAGTTGCTTCCAAGAACAATGCAAATACGAGTAAAAATGCTTTACCTTCAGATGATGCTAAAAGTCACCCATGGATACTCTAGACTCATTTAAAACTTAATATCTAGTACTTCAGTATGGGGAAATGTATAAGAACATACGCTAATTGACTGCATATGTACCTTCGTCTCCAGTTGGCGGTGAACAACGGCACTCGTTATATTTGGATATAGTGAAATTGAAAGTAACATCACATTTCATCGGTACTGGCTTGTCATCAGATACATCTCTTACGGTGTAATCTCTTCCTCCGAGAGAGACGTACCACTTTCTGTCCATACAACAAGCTGTGGGAGGGTTTCCCCCGTATCTCGGATCACCTTGAAGTGGACACTCTTCTACAATGTAATAACATTTAGTAAATGATAACGAAACCTATATGTTGCTGCTTTGGGAAATGAGTATAAAGTCACTAACACCAATATGAAGTGTACAGTATGTACTATTTTTTCGATGAAAATCGTTTTTTCCCATAAATTGATATCGACCAGCGTTATACTGTAAGTGACCGCAGCCAAGAAAGTGAAGATGGGTGATACCCAAAAGTGGATAAAATGATAGTGCAAGATCGTCAAAGGATATCATATTCATCCTATGAACCACATAATCACAACGCTCATTCTTAAAAAAGCCCATCGATTAATAAGTTTGCTTTTGTCTTAACTGCTTACATTAGCCAAAAAATGTTATAATTGATTAAATACGAGGGAGGTTCATAAAGAAAGGCGCGCTTAAAATTCAATTGAAAAGCTTCCATGTATCTCACCTTCTTTTATTCTACAACATTGTTCGGATTTATGCTGAATGGATGCTCCGACACATTGCGAATCTCCAACATCTGCAGGACAAGTACAAGTCCTAGTTCGATTACATGTTCTTCTTCCATACTCAGGACAAGGTTCAACGACTGTGCCATCATTTTCCTGGATATCAGATTGCATACACGAGCTGTATTTCCATTCACCCCACTCGGTCCATTGACATGAGTCTTTAAATGTAAAATGAGTTCATAAATCATAATTCGCTTATTATATTTTAATATCATATTAATCCACTCATTGGATATGAATATCTCCACTTATATTCCCTGCGCAAAACCCATTCATATATAATCTACTCCTGAATATTGAAGGTATTAGCCAAAACTAATAAGGATAACGATAATTAAACACTGAATTAGTGTATGTCAAATCATTTATTTTACCTGCCTTTATTAGACACTTTTTGAGGCAAGAGACAGGTCCAACAGTGTCTCCTTGTATATCTTCTTGTAGACACAATTTCCAACATTTGTCATTAACTGTATATCCCTGTCAGTAGTTGAATGGAACACATAATATAGTCATTTACTTATGATAACAATTTACTTATTTATGATATATATATTTATAATACATTTTTGCATTACCACACTCGATCATTACGTCTTTCGTTTTGAAAATAATAGATAAGATACACGGGCAACCTAAACGTGAACCCGTATTTATGCGTACATAGGGGTTTGGTTGAGAAAAAATCGCAAATCACCAACATATCGGCAACTTTTATCTCCGCGATAAAACTCTGCCGTCGGCTGATGGGGTTCGATCATTGCCCGGCGCCCGTACGATGCCCGAACAAAATATTCATCGGTCGGGCGCCGTAGTGAAAATCGGAGCCTATGTGACCAAGGCATTAGGTTTCCGTCTTGCGTTGAACCTGTAACACGAGAGATTGTGAGAAGGGTGAGATTACAGAACAATGTAGTACTTATTTCACGGGTTCAATCATTTTATACGGCCATTGCGACGCGAAACTCTTAGCTTTTCGTGTTGGCAGTAACGTGAGTTTTGTTCCATTTATACATGACTAAAAAAGTAAAAGTATGTTTATTTATGTTCTTAATTTGAAAGTAGCATATATGTCGAATAGTTGTGTGTGCATTCAAATGGCTCAAAATAATTCGCTTGTGGGTAATGCCTGGGTCACATTTGCTTTGATCCATCGGCCGGCGCCCGGCAGATTGAATGTTTTGTTCAATATTGTATTTAATTTTGAACAAAATACTCAATCGGCCGGGCGCCGTGTAAAAATCGGTGCAAATGACAAAACACGAAGAGACAAAAATGTGGAATTTTTAGACATTTTTTGAACAAAGATAACAGAGTTCTGTTTTGACCTCCAGTCAATTCAAATAGTTCCACATATCATTTACAGGAACAGGATCGCAATATCCATGGTCAGAATGACCCTAAACATGATGAAATAACTTTTTCAGCCCGTTGAAAATGTGACTGAATAATAGCTTAAAGTAGCCCCTCGGGAAAGGTCATTGAACAGAATTTTTTGAATTTTTCAGAAAATGTACCCAATCTATTGGGTACATTGTACTGATACAATCTTCGAAATTTTAAAAACTGTCTGAAACTAAAATGGCGTTCATAAAAAGAAAATAGATCGCCTTTCAATACATTTTTTCTTTTTTTCTTTTTCTATGAATGATATCACATTTTCAAAGAATATGTATTATTTAGAGCAATATATTGGGCACATTTTTAGAAAAATTCAAAAGATTCTGTTCAGTGACCTTTCCTGAGAGGCTACTTTAAGCTTTTATATTCAGTCACATTTTCAACGGGCGGGCTGAAAAAGTTATTTCATCATGTTTAGGGTCATTCTGACCATGGATATTGTGATCCTTGTCCTGTAAATGATATGTGGAACTATAATTTGAATTGACTGGATGTCAAAACAGAGCTCTTTTATCTTTGATAAAAAATGTCTAAAAATGCAGCACTTCCTATTTTGTCATTTCCTGTCATTTCCTGTTAAGTACCACTGCACCTTAAAGGTCAATGACACTCCATCGTCGACGGATGAATAAATCGCTTATTTTACTGCTCGAAAGGAACATTTAGAAAAACCTATACGCATACGCATAAATACAGGTTCACGTTTAGGTTGTCCGTGCATCTTATCCTCTCTAATTGCTTACTGAAACTCACTAATGTCACACTTATGGACGTATACAGCTGCACAATATATGATGACGTAATCAAACGCGTTATAAGTTATACGTTATACGGGAATAATAAACATGCTATACATGTAAGTGAAATGCGAAGTCTCTCTATTAATAACATGAAATTACTTTAAATGGCGCTACAATTTATTCTAATTTAAAAGTGAAATGTATCCAAGCTTCGCATATTCTGTTGTCGTTTCTCTTGGTAACCAGATACCTTAGTTATTTGTTGAACGAATTGCTTAATCTTTACATGATGTGGAACCACCTATGTATACAAGTGGTGCTCTAGGCTAAAGATGACATATTCGTGAAATAAAAGATTTTTAGACCAAATGGTGCGAAACTTCTTGATTAACCCTTGGGTAATCATTGTTACATAGACGACAGTTAAAAATCAGACTTACCTTCTTTACTCTACAGCTTTTTGCACAGTTTTTCATAGACATCCTTTTGCATAGTTTTTTGCATGGCGCGTATGTTATTCCTTTATTTTTTCTTCCAGCCGATACCGATACTGAAACGTAGGGATACAACTTTTTATATTGACTATTACAATAGGGTTGTCGAAATGGGTAAAAAGTATACAAGATAAAAAAAACAATGATAATAAAAGCCAAATCAGTTGAACAAAACAAACTTCAAAATCAAACTGTTGATGGAACTAATTTGTTTGATTGATTCGGTGTTATTATTTAATAAGCAGCTCAATTGAAGTGCAATGCTTCTTTTTTGATTTTATGCCAATATCATAAGTGTTGACATATTGTTGGTGTTTGAAGTCGGCGTCTGTAACAAATGGCAGTTGATAGCGTTTTGCATGTTAATTACTTGTGATTTTATATTTGTAATCAGCGATCGGCATGCTAGCAATTAAGAAAAGGGTGTGTATACAATGAATATACTTTGGATGTACTTACCTGAAAGCATCAACGTGAAAAGGACATATACGAGTTTGTCCTGCGACCGCATGTCCAACGGTGCGATATCTTGAACTTGAGCTTATATTCATGTAATAAAAACTGCTTTGTCTCTTAACCTTGATTGATACACGTCTACACGTATATCTGTCTGTACTTTTGTTTCATAAAAATACCAATTAGAAATGGAATGCGATAAATTATGGGGATGATAACAACATACTGGATGGCATGCTCTAAAGCAATACAGACATGAAGGACATTTTTTCTTTGTACGATGAAGTATGCATTCATAGTATTTTGTGATATAGGTCGACTTGATATATTGGAATACGGCTACAATTAGTTGACAATTTTTTTTCATCTATTGTTTACAATATTCTGGCTTCAGACTGTGATTGACGAGTTTCGATATGATAAAGTATTCGTTTGATGAAGAACATTTTTATCTTTCATTCAAAGGCCTTATACAAATCCACGGTTAAGGTGACGCTGGAGTAAATAAATAAGCAAAAAAATTACTAAAAAAAGTAACATGATATTTCAAGCTGTTTTTCTTGGCGACGAATGTACTCCATGAGTTAATACATAATCAAAATGAGCACCACATGTATACGTATATTACAGAACCATAAATGCTATAAGTGCTATTGTCCCTAGAGACAACATTTGGACCATACAGCGAGAGTAATTCTGGTAAATTGCAAAGAATATACTTATAGCACGGAAACACATTTGAAAAATTTCGGTAAATCATCTTTCCTTACCAGGGAACATCAAACAACTGTGAAAATGTGCATTAGTTGTGTTGATATTGAGATAGGAGGCTCAAACCACATGTCATCAATTTATTTCCTGTCGTCCATTTTTTTGCAGCGCACTGCTTGTTTTGGCAGTCCAGTGAAATATTTCTCAGATTGATATATGAGACAAATAGATATGACAATACAATATACTTGTATTTTTATCATCCATTATATCTGTTGATTTATTTCATTGTTAGAAATTGCAAATTTATCACTATTAAAGCTATACTGTGTATTTAATATTCCCGGGATTCCACCTGTGAAATTGTGATTTTACATTTTCGCTTTTAGCTTATTGGGCCGAAAATGAAGTTATTCATGATGGATATCTTCAAAACACCTGGAGGAATTACTTTTTCCTTTAAAGGGTTTGGTTGTGTGTCAAAACGCAACAAATTGATGCAAAAAAATTGTAAAAGCAGGGGTGGAAGGGGTTGAAAATCAGGACAACATTTCAGAAAAACATGTGGGTGGATTGTTTGCATCTTTGTCTCAAAGTCAGAATTATTTTATCATCTATGATTGCTTTTCCCGGAGAAAATACATTGGTCTAACATATACACCTGTTTTCTGAGAAAACGGCCAAAATCCAACATATGACTGTCTGAAATCTGTTGCGATACTTTCCCTCTTCCTTTGAACAAACTAATGTTTTCATCGTTTCAGAAAAGATCTGGTCTATCTAGAAATTAATGTCTATAATAACATCCTATACAGTGAACGTGATAGGGAATTTCATGGTTAAACCTACAAAAACTCTGTATTGTACGGTGTGACGCGCGGTAACAGTTATAATATGTATGTTAATATGTATCCCTTTAAGGGAAGGCAATCTACAAAGTTGATTATTATAATGAACTAAATCTGTGAATTATTATGATTGGTGGATTGGCTAGATCCAAAGGACCGCCCATTCAAACTCTGAAAGAATATAAAGCAGTGCTATGAATAAGAATGATAATTGTCATTTTCGAAATATACATGTAACGGTTGTAACAGTAACGTTGTATTTCGCTTCAGGTAAATGTTTCTGCGCGTTTACCCCACGCGTTTAACTGTTAACCCTATTAAGTTGGTACATCTCCTGTGGTAAAATGTGTACTCTTTCTCAATTTCACTTGCGCATTTTAATACTGTTGTGCACTTGGCTCTTTTCTCAGAACAGATTTGACGCGTATGATAATATAAAACGTATACTTCAGTATAATTAACAATTCTTTTTCGGATCGGAGACCCCTGATATAATATAACATTTATTGTCCAGCAAAGACAAACGCCTATCCATTTATCAATAAAATAATGGACTATATATGATTCATAGACTATGTAAAATATACTCGTTCATACCATAAATGACACAAAAGAGAAGGTAATGATTAAAACTGGTGAAAACTGAATATACACCTCGCTAATTAAAACACAATACAAATATCGCACAATGAAAATACAAATTCTAAAGCTTGTGGATAATATGCTTAACGTGCGTAGATACTGCAAATTAAACATGGAGACTCGTAGTATTGCTTTGTTCAAAAATAACAATATCATGTTTTATAGCTTTTTTTACATTTATTCATTTTTGTTATCATTATCAGTCTAGAGGGTAGGTCATTATCACGAAAAAGCAATTAAGCATGCTGTATTTACTTTACATTGCAATAGCTTTTTAGAATTCCAAATGAATGAACCCTACGAATCCAGTTCTTTGTTTTTGATGGCATTGTATTTTTTTAATTCAATAAAAATGTGTTTCATCTAAAAAGTCATTCAATAGCTTGATTGCGTTTATGAATGTATTAGACATTTGTACACAAGTGAGAATATAAATATAGAGGGAATACAAAAATTCATTGCGGCAAGAGTTTCAGTAAACTTGGCTATGAAGCGTTTGTAGTCAAAGGAAAATGCATATCACACTAAGTTTAACTTTAGTTATACTTTTATCCTGCGAATTCGGTAAGTCAACGCCACTTTATATTTACAATTAAATATCGATGTTCTTCAGTTCTGGTTTGTGCCTTTCTTGGATTGTGCACTCACACCCAGTTTTGATTTCACTCGATCATCTATCTTTACTTTTGATATTGAATTCTTACTCTATGTTACGACAAATTATATATATTTTGGGATTGTACATATAACACGGTGACTATCCAGGCCCCGTATATCGCGAGCAAGTTCACGCTTATTTCGCGAGCAATAAGCTCATGTTAGAAGCGGGGCCTTGAAAGATATGATGAAATATAGTAACTTTTAGTAGAAGAACGTCGTTGTCAATTGAAATTGAATTTATATCTGCAGAACATTGAACTAAAATGTTATTCAAGAATTCTCCATATATGCTTTCGTTACAATTGCTATGGCGACTTTTACTCCGAACAGCGTATAATTATTTGGTCACATCATTTAAAAGTCACCTATATTTTTATGACAGGTTATCTCTATCCTACTACTTTTCAGTTACGGGATCCGGACAAAATGGACCAGGATCCTACAAAAAATGCAAGGCCGTATGCAAAAAGTACAGAATAAGAGGCTGTAATCGGATTTGCAAAATAAAATCAGTAAGGACCAACTTTTATATTTCTAACTTAAGTGTTTTAATCGACTTTTTTTATAACTTTTATACTGCAGTTTTTGTTGGGAGTTTTAAATTGTTGCATAATGTTAATTGAGCTATTACGATTAAGCTCTATTTTAAGAAGCGAAAGCGAACGAGGTCGAGCAAATTGTAGCAAAGGTCCATGTACAGTATAGCAAGTGATTTTAGACAGTCATATCTTTCACCATGAGTACTTTCTGGGTATAAATACAGTCACCTAGTATGGTTTTTATTAAAACAATATGTTTTCTTTAAAGTGAAGTCCCCATGATAGTAAAATATTAATCAACCTCTCTGTGAAATTATGGATTAGGACCCCACCGTGTCACTTTTTTAAAAAATGTAAAGCTTATTTTCTGAAAAGGGATGGGTATTGAAATGTGAAAAAGTTAAAAACCATATTTCCCACGTTATCATTTTCCCATAGGGAAAACTCATGCTATCCATTGTTTTCAGCATGATTTTGATCATTGAAAATTGATCTTAAAAACTAGACTTTCAATACCATTCTACTTTTGAAGATGTTTTAGACCCCTCGTTGAATAATGTTATCAATAAAAATCATAAAAAGAAGATCCTTTTTTCAGCAAATAAGTTCAAAATTTTGAAAAAAAATGTTGATGTGGGCTGCCTATTTATCCTTTTTCGTATTGTTTGATTGATGCTTTTATCATCATGGGGACTTCCCTTGAAAGAAAACATATTGTTTTAATAAAAACCACTGCATTTATGCCAAGAAAGTCCTCATGGTGAAAGATATGACCGTCTAAAATCACTTGCCATACTGCATATGGACCTTAAGAGTGTTTTTCAAACTTTGCTCTGACTACTAGGCTATAGAGTTTGTCACATCTTTCATATGACTTTACATTGTTTCTTGTAGAATTATCGTGCGGAAGATGCGATTTGGGATACTTGTATAGCCAGTTCGCCACCTACAAAAACCACACTGACCCAATGTATGAAAAAAATTTTGGTCAAAATTCCAAAGGGTTTGTATAGATTATAATAGTCCATGTATGTATTGATGATAAAGCCCATGGTAAACACCTTTCAGTGCTTGTGCATAAATAAGTGTTTTGATCCCATGTTTCATGTCAGTAATTAAAACGGATGATGGCATTTCGAATTTGAAATGTATATTTTAATACAATATAACACATGATATTAAATGATATGATATGATTTGATATAATATCAGGATGCCGCTGGGGCTCTTGGGGACGATGGAAGGCTGGGGAGTGTTCAAAACAGTGTGGATCTGGCTTATCGCGCAGAACTCGTATACGCAAAAAGCTACCTGCCAGTTATGGAACATGTACAGGGAGCAACGTACAAACAGAAACTGTGATTTGTAATACAAAATCCTGCACTGTACAAGGAGGTAATTATGTCCTTCAATCAAAACTTTACAAAAAGTCAATTGAAGGGAGCACAAGTTATGAATGAATTCCTCTTTAAAGTCTAAGAACAGACAGAATATTTTCGGACAACGTTCACGTTAACCTAGATAATGGTCATAAAAAATAGATTCCAAATATAACTACCAATACCATTCAAAATATTGTCCAAATAGGAAAAATATTTTTTAGAAACTGAAATTAGGAAATATGTATCTGACTAGATCTATCAATGCATGTGGTGTAATTTCATATTCTTCTAAGGATGTCCACAAAGGAGTAATCGACGATATGGGTTCTATCCGCCATGGTGCTGTGTCAATGGTATCTGGCACCAGCCGTATCAAAACCATCTTTACAAATGCGAGAAGATCTCTGATGGCATTGAGATCACGAAATCGTGCCCAAATGGTGAAACGTTCAAGATATTTTCGTGGAATTCCTGCTGTTGTGTTAAAGACGGAGAGGGTGCCTGTGTGTATATACTAATAATTTTGTTTGTTTTTGGAATCTGATTGCCAAGTCACTATTTGTTTGCAAATTAAAGTTAAAGAGGCTGTAAATACTAAATATATCAACCAAAAACTCGACCAAAAACAGCCAGGGGGTATGGAATTTGGGCTTGATTTGTTATGTTTGCAATCATTTCATTTCCAAAGATGATGTATAGTTTATACATTAGAATGTTACAAAACCATTTTATGCGAATTGTCCGGTTTCGAACTACTAATTAATTTACCAAGGCAAAACTCAAACATTTGCTAAGTGCGTGCAAATGAAGATTCAATGTAATATGCCGCATCTCGAGTCTAGTTAATTAACAAGACGTATATATGTCAACTAGGTTGCAAATGGGGTGAATGGGGCCAGTGGCAATACCAACGATGTTCTACGACATGCGGATCCGGAAAGAGATATAAAAGTAGAACACGAACAGGAGGTCCAGGATGCCTGGGAGATTCTATTGAAACTGAATTGATCGACTGTGACCTACCTCCTTGTCCAGGTGAATATATTGTATTTGTATCAGTATGAAAATGGCATTAAAAGAAGGAAAAATAAAGAGGAAAACGAAACTTTTTTCAGAAATATGAAAACACTGGACAAACTGGGAAAAACAAATAATTAAACTTGCATTACAAAGAAACACTTTAGAGAACAATTGGTCACGGAGAAACTAATTTCAACATAACGCCAAATGATAATCTAACAAGAAAACCGTGCCTAATGTCAACCCAGTTCATTCATTTCACTAAGCAATCGTTTTAAAATTCCAATACCACAATAACATTGTATTGCGTTGAATTTCCTAATGATCATTACCAAATATATATAAACGTTTTTAAATTGAATTACCTGAATATTGCATGACGCTAGTTGGTTGTAAGTGGAGTGAATTTGGACCTTGGTCTACATACTCATCATGTACCGTGACTTGTGGCAGTGGAACTATTGTTAAACGACGTACACGAACAAAACAACAAGTACCCTACGGAGGCTCTCGATATTGTATTGGAAAATCTTATGAAGATAGAACTTTCACGTGTAGCAACCCATCGCGCTATGGTGAGTGTACTCACATACACGTCTTTGTCACATACACGTGTTGGTTTCTGTGCATCGGAACTCTCCCGTACTTGTATACATAACTTGAACGAGAAGAATATTTTGAATATTATAAAGCAAAGTAAGGTCTAATTTGTGTTTGGACTTGAGGATTGTAAATAGATGGTATAATATGTGTGTTTGATATTACAGTATATAGACATTTTGAAAAAGATCACACTATTACAGGGCGTTCAATAAGTATTGCTAATTTTGCTATAACTTTTGTTCTGTTTGCATTTTCTTCATGTAACTTTCACAACATAAGGTACATATATCTGACTTTGACCTATAAAAATGTCAAGTCAATTTAACTTGTATTTGTAAAGTTATGGTTGCTAAGGTTACCAATGTCATGGACATGCGGGGCAAAGTTCTGACGTCACTTTGGACGACATTTTGAGTATTGAAAGCAGTATCATGTAATACTCTTGGGATATTCAGTGCAGTTACAAATAATCTATTCCAGAGTCACATCATGATTCATTTTCACCTCATAAGGTGCTCAAAATAGGCACCCTCAGCATCAATGCACAGTTGCTGTCTGGGGACCCACTCGTGGTAAACATTTTTGAAGCCACCCTTACAGTGTGGCTAGGGAGTTGTTCACTGCAGACATCAGTTGATTGAGATTCCGGTGTGATATTCCTCTCAGATTTCTTTTCACTGGGGCGAATACAGCAAAATCAAGTGGGACATTATCTGGGGAATATGCTGCGTGGGGCCGTGCTTCCATCCCAAGCTCTGTTATTGTATAATGGACAATAGAGGATCTGTGAGCAGGCCATTATTCTGGTGGAACCTATAGGTCGATATTGCTTGGCAGGACAGCCTTTCTATCAGCCATTTTGTTTCAAGGGGGTATGACATCATCATGCGACTATCATCTACTCCTTTGATAATTAATGTACTTACGTATTGTCATACAATTCAAACTGACAACATCAAGATTTGACCATATGAGCAGTTTTTATTAATCAAAATGTTTATTTGATGTATAACAATAAATTATCGTGTATACCCTTAAGGTTGCCCCGCGTACTCGTCACAATAGTTACTATAGTAACCATAACTTTGTCAATACTAAGTTGGTTGTCCGATAATTTAGATAGGATAAGGTCAAATATGTGCTCCTTGGGTTGTGCAAGTTTCATGAAGAAAAAAGCAAGATAACAAAAGTTATTACAAAATTAGCAATACTTATTGAACATAAACATTGATACATAAAAATACTACATTTCTTGTTCGAAAAGAATTATGTAGAAAGAAAAATTGACATACTTTGATACGTTGAATACATCTAAGAGTATCTATTTATTGAGGCTGCAAATGGAGCGCATGGACGCCTTGGCAATATCGACAATGTTCTACAAGTTGCGGCAGTGGAAGGAGATACAAAAGTAGAACACGATCAAAACTTAAAGTACAAGGGGGTTCAGGATGCCCGGGTGCATCTATTGAAACAGGATATATGAACTGTGACAACCCTCCTTGTGGTAGGACATAATACTGTTTTTTTGTCAAAAGAGATAACACAGAATCATAAGTTATTAGCTCATAAACATTTTGATACTCATAGCATCGTTCTGTTTCACCCGACAAATGCTCTGATATAATGGCATATTCAGTGATCTGAGCACGTCAGATTGGAAGAGTAACACATTGGAAAAGTTTATTTTAGAATTTAATTTTTGTCACAGACTATAACAAACTGTGACAATGATTCATTTCTTAAATAAGATACCAATTACTAGTCTAGCCAAGAACTTATTGAACGAAACGGGGGAATATTTTTTATAATGTATTATTGTACATGTCTTCAGGCTGTAGGTACAATGGACGATTCTATGCGGAAGGAAGCTCATTCCCGTCATCTGATGGATGCAACACGTGTACGTGTAGAAGAGGAAACGTTGGGTGCACTGAGAAATTGTGTGGTAAGTTATATTGTGTACTTATTTATAGTTGATGCAGCAATCTATTTTATAAAACATGTTGCCATTTTTTAAACAAATATGAGACAAAATAATGAATTGTGCATTTGCGTCACTCATACTATGAACGCCAATAATATCATAAATCAAGAGATGATCTTTCAATAATATCTTGCATGTCAGAATTGTACACTAGTTTTCTAATATGTTTTTGATAAAACTAAAAATTAAAAAAGTTATTAAAGAAAAGGTGACCCTTGAACAATTCTGTCCGGGCTACTAGTTATATATCATAAATTTTAAAGTAACATTGCAAATGTTTTCAGGCTGTAGGTACAACGGACGATTTTATGCGGACGGAAGCTCATTCCCGTCCACTGATGGATGCAACACGTGTACATGTAGAAGTGGAAACGTTGGGTGCACCAAGAAACTATGTGGTTGGTTCTTTTATGTGTTTAATATTTACTTATCGGTTATATAGATAGATATGCAATGTATCATTATAAATGTCTTCAGGTTGTACGTACAACGGACGATTTTATGTGGGAGGAAGCTCATTCCCGTCCACTGATGGATGCAACACGTGTATGTGTAGAGGTGGAAACGTTGGGTGCACCGAAAAATTGTGTGGTTCGTCCTTTTGTTTTATTAATATATTAAAGCATCTGTTCTAAATATAGATACAGGGTGTTCAAAAAAACGCAACCCAAAGAAATCGCTATAGCTTGAAAAATACTAGTTCAATTCAATTATGTTCATATTTTCAGGAAATAAACAAGAAACTATGTATGTTTAGCTCCTGTAAATGGTTAGTTGTACAGCATGATGTCTTGGATACCTGCTCAAAAGACAGTTGTACTAGGAAAATACGAAAAACACAGTCAGGGATGACTGCAATCTCAAAAAAATTGAATAACTCTCTAACCATTCAAAGGCACACATCATCTTCATTCAATGTATGGTAAATCTGTAGAGTGAAATCAAAATCACTTCAGGGACTTTACAGTCATGGTTGAAATGCTTTCAAATCGCAGTCAAACGCCCTGGTTCAAGGAGACTTAAGAAGGCATTTTGACCATGACTGTGTAGTCCCTGGAGTGATTTTGATTTAACTCCACAAATTCATCACACATTGAATGAGGAAAATTTGTGCTAAATCTGAATTGCCAAAACACCATGGTTAGAAAGTAATTTGCTTTTATTGCTGTGGCTGTCACCTCTGACTGCGTTCTCATGTTTTCCTAGAACAACTGTCATTTGAGCAGGTGTTCAGGGCATCATGTTTACAACTTACTGACAACGGGAGCTATACATACACAGTCTCTTCTTTCTTTTCCTGAAAAAATGAACATAATTGAAATAGTATTTTCCAAGATATAGTGATTTTCCATTCGCGTTTTTCGTATTTTGCTAGTACAACTGTCCTTTGAGCAAGTGTCCAATACAGGTACATCATGTTTTACAATTTACTAACAACAGGGGCTATACATACAGTCTCTTCTTTCTTTCCTGAAAATATGAACATAATTGGATGAGTATTTTCCAAGATATAGCGATTTCATTGGGTTGCGTTTTTTTAACACTCTGTACATAGTTATATATCATAATGTAACATTGGAAATGTTTTCAGGTTGTAGGTACAATGGACGATTTTATGCGGAGGGAAGCTCATTCCCGTCCACTGATGGATGCAACACGTGTACGTGTAGAGGCGGAATTGTTGCTTGCACCAAGAAATTTTGTGGTTAGTTCTTTTCTGTGATTAATATGGAGTATCAGTTCTATTTTCCGAAATGGGTGCCATCATACAATGTATCCTAGCTCTAATAGTGATTTTGGTAGTCTAGCTACAAGCCTCTATGACCCCCCCCCCACTACTTGACTAACCATCTCACGTGTACATGGTCTTTCCCTGAGCTAAACTATGATTTTTAAGGCAATTGAGAATCCCCGAAATTAAGAATAAATATATAAGCACAAATGCCAAAAGGGAAGGGTGACTAGAAACTTTAAGAAAACCTAACAAGAAAAGCAAACTGTAAGTGTAAATCTGTCAAAAGAAAAGTAGACCCTTTGATTAAGGGCAGAAGTGTTGCAAGAACACTGAAAGCTTGTTGATGTGTGTCCTACTAGAGATTATATACTACAATCATGAAAACAATTGTTTTCGTCTTTGACTCTCGACACTGGTCAGAGAATTTTCTTAGATGCATTCAAGTGTCAGAATTCTCTCCACTAGAAACTTATCCAAGAAATGTGTTTGAAGGCCAGTACTTTGCCTAATGTAAAGTTTCATTCTTATGCTAGTACTTGGCCTGGTGAGAAGATTTATTTTTAATTTTCAAACCAATGCCCACCTATTTCTGACTCCAGATAGGAAGGGACTCCAGCAAATGTGTGTTGTAAAGAAAGTACCTGCTCCCATGTAGTTTTAATTTCAGGCCAATGTTTACCTATTACTGACCCAAGATATCAAGGAACTCCAGCAAAATATGTTTTGGGAAAGTACCTGCTTCTCCTGTGGAGTTTTATTTTAATTTTCAGACCAATGCCCACCTATTACTGACCCAAGATATGGAGGGACCCCACCAAAAATGTGTTGTAAGGAAAGTACCTGCTCCTATGTAATATTATTTTAATTTTAAGACCAATGCCCACCTATTACTGACCCAAGATATGGAGGGACCCCACCAAAAATGTGTTGTAAGGAAAGTACCTGCTCCTATGTAATATTATTTTAATTTTCAGACCAATGCCCACCTATTACTGACCCAAGATATAGAGGGACTCCAGCAAAAATATGTTGTAAGGAAAGTACCTGCTGCTCCTATAGAGATTTTTTTTAATTTTCAGACCAATGCCCACCTATAACTGACCTGATATGTAGCAAAACTCCAGCAAAAATGTGTTGTAAGGAAAGTACCTGCTCCCATGTAGTATTATTTTAATTTTCAGATCAATGCCCACACACCTATTACTGACGCAAGATATGGAAGGATTCTAGCGAAAATGTGGTGTAAGGAAAGTACCTGCTCCTATGTAGTATTATTTTTCAGACCAATGCCTACCTATTACTGACCCAGGGTACTGAGAGACTTCAGCAAAAATGTGTTGTAAGGAAAGTACCTGCTCTTATGGAGCTTTATTTTAATTTTCAGAACAATGCCCACCTATTACTGACCCAAGATATGGAGGAACTCCAGCAAAAAATGTGTTGTAAGGAAAGTACCTGCTCCTATGTAGTATTACTTTAATTTTCAGACCAATGCCCACCTATTACTCACGCAGGGTACGGAGGGACTCCACCAAAAATGTGCTGTAAGGAAAGTACCTGGTATTGGCCATATGGTGGAGCAAAGTACTCAACTAGGGTTATTCCCAACGGTAAAATGATTTCACGTGAATGTCCCAGGGGTCAAGTGTTCCAGATATCTAGTCATCATAAATGTGGATGCGCAAACGTATTTGGTAAAACTTTTTTACATTAACAGAAATTTTATTTATAAGCCAAACAAATATTGACCTTGTAACACAAATTAATTATGAAATATTAGTGAATTGTTAGCGATATCATTGGTCCAATGTGATGTCTCACGAGGTACAAATTTAGTGGGGTCATTCTTACTGTAATTATTGAATATGTTGTGTATTTCTGTTTTACTGTCAAGCCTGTTTTTGTACATGATTAGTTGAAATCGGCTCACGTGTTGTAAATGATCGGGCTTAATTCAATTGGCAGAACAACTGATCAGGATTTAGTGGTGATCAGCGTTTGTCGGAATTTTGAAAATTAATTAATTTAATTCAATGTTTATCCTGATTTTACACGATGTATAAATGTAGCAAACAATGTATGAATATATCATTAACAGAAGATATTTATTATTTTTACGAGAAATCCACTATATATATAATATCGTTTTTTCTCTTTGTGAATCTAAAAAGAGATTAGTGACCCATCTCTCAGAACTGTTTTCTGAAATAAATTAGAGTTTTGCCAATTTAACCACATCAAAATAATTGAAAAGTATAACGAAACAGTATAACATTAGGTTGTGTGTGGAGTGGTTGGGGTCCTTGGCAAAATGGAAAATGTTCAACAACATGTGGACCTGGGAAGAAATATAAAAGTAGAGTGCGAAGAAAACTCTCGGTTCCGAATGGACCACCAACATGCCCAGGTGAATCAATCGAGACTGGATATATCAACTGTGATCAACCTCCTTGTTTTGGTAAGAAATATGTTTGTTAAAAGTGCATAAACCATTTTTTACCATTTTCTGCTTTATATGTATTTCTGTGGCTCCTTTGACGTTTACGTCTGTAGAGTATAGATTAAACATAATAATATTATAATATGAGGTTGTATATGGAGTGGCTGGGGACCTTGGCTAAATGGAAAATATGTTCAACTACATGTTGACCTGGGAAGAAATATAAAAATAGAGTGCGAAGAAAACTCTCATCCACTCTCTAATTTTTTACCATTATCTGATTCATATGTATTTGTGTGGCTCTTATGACGTTTACGTCTGTAGAGTATTGATTAAACATACTAATATTAGGTTGTGCATGGAGTGGATGGGGTCCTTGGCAAAATGGAAAATGTTCAACAACATGCGGCCCTGGAAAGAAGTACAAAACTAGAGTACGAAGGAAACTCACTGTTCCGGGAGGTCCATCGACGTGCCCTGGTGATTCTAGTGAGACTGAATCCTTGATCTGTGATCAGCCACCTTGCTTCGGTAAGGAAGACCCGTTAAAATAAAGTGATCATTTCAGTAGTTCATCATTGTCTGTTCAGTATAGCAATAATCTCATTTCGAAGGGCAACATAGTGATAGGGTCTAATTTTAATTTAAAGTTTTCACTCCAAACTTTCATCGTATATTTAGATTTCACATGGCTCTGAATTCAATGATAGCCCTGTAATGATACATTGGATACCAAGTTGCAAGGGCAAAACTGAAACGCGGTTTCAACTGAATCAGTCATTCATTAAATTCAGAATTCAAAAAAATTTGAACAATACTTTGCACATATGGCTTTCATCACCAATACTCCTATTCGCGATAAGAGTTCAGGTGGTAATTTACATAAATATCTCCCATGATGCATCGCTGGGGGGGGGACAAATTTTCATTGGCCCGCCGAACGAGTCTGTACTCTGAACGTTTCTCAGCTTCTGATCTTCCATCAGCCCTCAAGCATAGTTATATGATCCAATCTATTGATAGATAATCGGAGATTCGAAGTAACATTATTGATATTTTTTCGATCTTCGATGAAGTCTGAGCAATTTGGGAAATCAGTGACGTCACTGAAATTGGACGGCATTTTCAACTACAGATTTCTTCGGATTTGGGGATTACAGTTCAAAAAGCCTTGTTATATATCTTAATTACATACATACCTATCATTTCTGCAAATGCAACTCTACATAAATGTTTAATAAAGTCGCAGTGCGGCATTGAAAATAGCACCCCTGTGTAATCCAATGGGAAAGAACCCGGATGTAGACGATGTTGTACCGTGCATGAGAGCTCTTCAAACGAGAGTTAACTAAACTGAACGAAAACTAAACGTTATCGCGTATTGGTATATTATGAAACGCTCACCCCCATTTCATTCAATGTTTATCCTGATTTTACACAATGTATAAATGTAGCAAACAATGTATGAATACATCATTAACAGAAGGTATTTTTTATTTTTACGAAATATTGAATATACATATGATATCATTCTTTCTCTTTGTCAATCTAAAAAGAAATTACTGACCAATCTCTCAGAAATGTTTTCTGAAATAAATTAGATTTTTGCCAATTTAACCACATCAAAATAATTGTAAAGAATAATGAAACATTATAACATTAGGCTGTTTGTGGAGTGGCTGGGGTCCTTGGCAAAATGGAAAATGTTCAACAACATGCGGACCTGGGAAGAAATATAAACGTAGAGTGCGAAGAAAACTCTCGGTTCCGAATGGACCACCGACATGCCCAGGTGAATCTATCGAGACTGGATATATCAACTGTGATCAACCTCCTTGTTATGGTGAGAACTATAGCTTATTTATGTGAAACTGCACATTCCAATTTTTCTTTATAATCAGCTTAAAGTTATATATATGTTACGTGTTGCTCTGAATCAGGAGGGGGGGGGGGTATTTGTCAAAGATGAGAGTTTGTACTGTCGAGTTATATATTTGATAACATATGAAATTGATATCAGATGTTTTATGGTTATTTTGTAAAGTTTGGATGGCGTAACATAAATAGTAACACAGTTAAGTTTAGAAACCCGCAGTTCGGTATAAAACACTCAAAGCCGCTTCAGTGTAAAATTAATATCTGTATACATTTGTACATTCGTTACCCAAGGAAAAATAGGCGAATTTTCAAATTGAAATGAGGGTCCGTCTCAGACATGTCGATTTAACATATTGACCCCCTGATTAATAAAAAATCCACACTCTTAAAACCAGTGAACGTCTTTGAAAACACGTGTAAAACGGGAAGTGTTAAAATTGGAACGTTAAATGTTAATAAATAACATTATTTTAACGGCAAAGCGCGTTAAAATTCAAAAAAGTAACGGAATGACGCGTAATCATGAAAACGCTCGTTTTCAGAGTGCATAATTCATAGCATACTGCGTCATATGCTATATAATAGGTTAATAACCATATGCTATGGTTTAGTGACGGCAGTTATTGGATGAAAGCTTATTACTGGGAAATATCATATAGTCAGGAGGAATAAACCCGTATATTATCCCAACCAGTAAATAAATATATTCAAGCGCAAATGCCAAAGGGAAGGGTGGCTAAAAACTTTAAAGAAACACAACAAGAAAAGCAAACTGTAAGTGTAAATCTGTCATAAGAAAAGTAGACCCTATATATCCCAAAACCATGATCTAACGTGAAAAGAAACAATGTCTAACATTCCCCTCCCCCCTCCAATCGAGAACCAATATCACAATCCGACCAGGACCAGAACACCAAGGGACATTTCATTCATACTAAAGTCATATGTTGAAGAAAAATTTAAAACATCGATAGCCAATACTCAAATTATAACATCAAAAATAGTTGTAGATACTAGTACTCATAAAAGATAGAGTATTCAGTCTCAAATGATGTGGGATAGTTCAGATAGTAACCGTAAAACGTTAAGTAATAAAAACTCGGCAATGTAAGGGAATAAGATGGGGGTTTATACCTACCAAATATGAACAAAATTGGATCATTATTTTCTTAATTGGATATATTTGTGCAAAACGTCTTGAACAACCAAATTGGACGTAATAGGAAGCTTTAGGAAGTAGTATATTATCATCACTGGTACTCATCTATTTCATTTCATTTCAACGTAACAAAATCGAGTGACTAAATATATGAATTGCGCCTTCGTTCATATACCAAACATAAAACCGCATGTATATTAATTAAATATTCTTAAACAAGACTATCTTTCTTAACTTTGAGCCAAATTATTGTCCACAACTTGACTTATAAGTGGTGTAAAATCGAGAAATAAAAATATCTTTACGAAAACGAAGCCCGGAAGTTCTTCCATCTTGTTACGTTGACATATCGTTTAAAACTATAAATCTGTATAGCCCCAACCGTTCCTCAATAACTATCTAGTACAAATGGAAGAAGAAATATAACCATTAAACTGAAATAAAAACAAACTTGTGTCCGTGTGGCAAAGATATAGACGCGGATTAAATAATTCAGTCCTTATGTTTACTTTCTTAGTATGCCCACCACCGCCACATTGGCGATATACCTCCAGCCCCCCATGGTGCTGCCTCGAAGAAAACAACAATCCTGTATGGCACCAACCGCTTCAGAATAACGAGTACAAATGCTTGATGAATATCGCATTCGGGGACAAAAACAGTGGCGTAGAAATAAAAATAAAGTCCTGTCCAGATGGCTTTAAGTTCATAATAAATGCCTGGAATAGTTGCTTTTGTGGTAAGTCTTATTCAATCATCAGGGAATTTGAGATCATATTTTCAATTCTTTAATATATCAGAGCCATATCTCAACACTGGTTCCATCAGACCAAAATCAGGCCAATAACTTTAATCTTCTATTGATCAACATCTAGAACTAAAACTGCCATTCTTACTGTTTGCAAGATCAATTGTAAACTAAAACTATTGTAAAGTGATAAGTAAAAGTATAAAGAAACTGCTACGGGTAGCCTCATCCATATTTTGTACATTTGAAGTAACTGTATAAAAATACTAATATATCGGTATTGCAGATATGCACAATTGCCTTCAAATTATGTAAATTTGATTCCTTTACAAATATAAATTATATATTATTATATTATTTGTATCATTGGGCGACCCTCGTATGGTAAAAGTTCAGAAATTAATGTGTTTAATTAAAAATATTAGAACATAAGAACTATTTTACGCCTCTCGTAGAATTCTATTTTACGTCCGCCTAACGGACAAAATACACAAAGGGTTCTTTTATTTTGCAAGAAAAATCCAACAAATCTAGAAGATTTTTATTGTAAAATATGCTAAACATTGTAACGACTTACATATTTTTCAATAGAATAGGAAACGCGTTCACCTGATGAGGTATATCAATTGTTATCAAAAAGAGTCGATGAAATAAACTTTGTTTTGCTTTGAGGTCACCCATGTTTGAATTTTCTTAAGAAGTGTAAGAAAAATCAATATTCCGATAACAAACTTACAAACCTAAAGTTGGATTTTCATAATGTGACAGTTTAGAACAGTTTGGGAAGTTGTTTTGAATTTTAGGAGAAAAATACAAAATTAATGAATTTAAAGTTTTCGTTTGAAATCGACTTTTCAAAATTGTACTTCTGTAAAGTGAGAACGGCTACCCGAACCCTTTTACATCAAAATCTCTCAAAACTGTCTATTAAACGCATCATTCTGGATTATAGTTAATTGTACATGGTCTGTATGGATCTGGTCAGACTGGATTTGCGACCCTTGTCCCGCTGGGTGTCATGGCACACATTTTGTGACATGTAGACGGACTGGGACTCGAACACGACCATCTAATTGTCCCATTCCTCATATTGAGACAAAAACTGAAACTAAACGAAAACTTTGCCCAGGTTCACTATGTAAGTTATCTTCAATCTTTGTTATGGGACACTCGTACATTTAGTTCATAATGTTCGCGCCATATTAATTCGCCTTGATGAATTTGTAACTCAAGTGAGATTTGCTACATACCTGTGACAATCCAACATTTTCACCATTTCGATTCGAATCCAATCTCTAAATTTCAATTTAATTCGAGTATGGTTTTTTGATCCTATCTATTTTCGATATGGGTATTATCCGTCTAATACGTACTTGATGATATTTTAAATGACAGTTATATAGGTAAATAGAGTGAAAATGTTGGACGTTCGAAATATTAACAAAATTATAATTTTTTAAAAGGCATATCTTTCTAAGAATGTATACAGTTAATTTTGTAAGAAGATTTAACTATAATGTAGGCAGTAGATGGTGTGACTGGGGATCATGTAAAGTCTCAGGGGAAACATCTGAAGTTAATCTATCTTTACCTTTTTATTTGAATTTGCGTATGATGATGTTGAACTGAAATAAATTGGACATCTTATAACGATGGGCACAATTCTTATAGATTGTGTAATACTAACCAGTATCAAACAACCATGGGAGCAACTTGCTTCTTCTGGCTCTAAATTAAATCTAGAATGTTGCCTCATATTACTTATTGCACCTCATCTGAATGATTGCAAAGTACGAGTAAAACATAATAACATTAGGTTGTGTATGGAGTGGCTGGGGTCCTTGGCAAAATGGAAAATGTTCCACAACATGCGGACCTGGGAAGAAATATAAAAGGAGAGTGCGAAGAAAACTCTCGGTTCCGAACGGACCACCGACATGCCCCGGTGACTCTAGTGAAACTGGATACGAAAATTGCGACCAACCTCCTTGTTATGGTAAAAATATTTTAACATGTATTTGTTATAATGATTTGTGTGTATAGTAACGTTGCTTTACTTTCCTGAGAAATGTTAAATGATCGACTTGTTGAATTTTATAATCCAGAATTTCGAATCATATTTCGTTTTGCGTATTTTGTGTGTAAAACTTATATACTATTATTTGCTGTTAACGTCGATCTCAGGAATATGTTTTTAATTTGAGATAAATAATTTCATTATCAAACCTCAGCTTTGAATGATTACTTACTTTAAAGTGATTGTTACAACAGTACGAAAAATCGCACAAAGAATTCGAAATGACTAGCGTTACTTTTATGTGCATTAAAACGGAATATCGGAAGTCTCTTTACAATGACTATACGGAGACCAGCGTCTATGTAAAGGAGCTGTAGGTTATCGCAAACAATTTCAGAAGGTTCAATCTTTGATTATGACTATTTTCTGACAATAAAGACAGGTTTATCTTTTAGATAAATTCAGTATCTGAAACAAAATTATATACAGGGATAATTAAGTCAAACAAACTCGGAGATATTTAACTTGCAATCAACCAATCAACACACTTGTCAAAGACGTTGACCTCATTTTTACCAAAAAACAATCAATTTTTACATAATGTATTACTATTCTTTGTTATAATGTATCAAATATTTCTTGAAAGAAAGGCGTAATTGTTTTAAGATAAGTGTTCAACATGTTATTTCTCCATTTAAAATCTCATGCTATCTATTAGTTTCAGTTCTTTTTGGTCATCCAAATTCAGTATCTTTAAAGTCCCATGAGCAATTCAATTTTCTTGGTGAAAATTAGGTCAACATTTTTGGAAGAGTATGTCGATTGGTTCATTGCCCCTTCAATATCATTTAGGTCTGGTCAATTTAATTATCATTTTATATAATTTTCTTGAAGATTATGAATTGGTCTAAAAGATACACCCACATTCATGACCAGAAAATATTCATAATTCAAGTTAGAATCGTACGACATTGTTTGCTATATCCTACATGTTCCTTTGTAAAGAGACTTTATGGGCACAAACTATATAAACATCACGTCGTAAGCAAATATCACCTTATCTTACTCATTTCACCATTTATCGTTTTATTGTATCTAATGTATATATTGTAATTTAATACTGTGTTTTTGTATTAATTTACTCTCCAAATTGGAGGAAATAAAGAATCATATAATTATAGGTTGCAGATGGAAACACTGGGGTCAGTGGCAATACGGACAATGCTCCAAATCATGTGGCACGGGAAATAAACTCAAGCGACGAACACGTACTAAAGAAATCATCCCCGACACTCGTGCAAGATGTGAAGGAAGTCATTTTGAAACTGGAAGCGTACAGTGTAACACACAGTGTTGCAAAAGTATGTAAACGTATATTACAAATCATTTGAGACAACAAAATATGTTTCATTAAGGCAGAATCAGATCTATAGGGGTGAAAAAATTACAAGCAACATTTGACCTATTAATCTATTCTTTACAATCTCAGAAACAAAATCTCCCAAAAATTCACAATATATTATCAATCGGTGACGTTATTATGGATTCAAAGTTCAAAATGGGTGAAAATGTTTGAATTCTCCCAAATAATAAGAACGGTAACCCTTTTATAGTAAAATAATACATTATTGTAAAAATCTTAAACATCTCAAATCAGGGACGAATCTATTAACGGTCATATTCAAATCACGCTCTTTGTAGGCTGTTACTGGAGTGCTTGGAAAGAGTGGGTCGATGGGGAATGTTCAGTTACCTGTGGATTGGGTACAAAGATCAAGACAAGAATTAGAACAGAACAATGGTTCAATAAACCAGGCCCATGTGTATGTCAAGGGGACTCGGTTGAAACCGGTTATGGAATATGCTATCTTAAGGAATGCAAACGTAAGTCAACTATTATTGATTTCGAAAACATTAAGTATGCGCATATCACTACACATTTAATGGTCAAAGGTATATTCGATGAACTATTATTCACGTGATATTCCACTTTATAAATTGTATCCAATGATCTTCGAATACTATGATAAACGGCTGTACAATTTACATCGCTCTAGATCTACAGTACATCAGCGCAATATAGATATTCTAATGGATAAATCAGTTTTGTTCGGTTTCAATTAGCTGAATCCATAATATATCGTTTGCATTAAATCTATAAATCATTCATTTATAGTGGTATAAAGCAATACATAGCTTTTTTAATTAATTTTTGTAATGTCGCATTTTTATGTACACCAAATACATTTTATCATAATTCCATTATGTTTGCACAAGGAAGGCACCTCTCCAATCGTTTAATTAAGGAATAAATAATGATAGGCCATTCAATATGGTGAAATTCAGCACGAGTTGGACAGAATGTTGTACAAAGCACGAACCGAAGGTGAGTGCATTTGTACTAACATTCTGTCCAACGAGTGCATAACGAGTGCATAACGAATAGAGCACGGTCATGTTTGAATCGTTATTATCGGTTAAATGGATAATTGTTAGATGTTTCTAGATTTCAAGAAAATTACCACACACCGAACAGACCAATTTGATTCCTTATTGATTTTAAGCATTGGGCAATAGCTAAATCAACCATCAAATTGCAGGAATTTTATGGCCCACATTGTGTTATGGAATCGATGCATATTAGCAATTTGAATATAATCATCAATTTGAATTTGAAGGGACTCTATGGGTATTTTCAGCATTTGTTGGCAAAATAATTTTAATTTGGATTTTCATAGGATTCCCAATGGATTGATAAGTACTTGATGTTTCATTTGACAGCAAAATAGCTAAAACAGAAAACATCATAGTTTGAGATAAATTATCAAAAACTATTTTCGATCTGCCAATTTTTTATACATTTTTGATAGAAGTGTCAACAACACGCCATCTTTTAAATCAAAAGTTATTTAAAAATAAACGTTATGAAAAGTTGGCATGCATTACTTTAAACCTTTTTACTTTAAATGCTGTTTTCTACGTTAGTTATTTTTTCTCGCTTCAGTTTCAACCCAAATTAAGGTTGGTATCATATTTGATTGAGTGTGCGACTAACATGTCTCCAAAATTATTTCATCCCCTTTTCTTCAGTTTAAGATATTTAAGATGTTTAAGATACAATCATATAACAGTGTTGTAAATCACGAAATCGTTTTGTATATAGCGTGTGGTGTTTGGGAACCATGGCAACCCTGGGTGTGCGGAAGCTGCTCAATATACCGCAAGAAACGAGGTGACCCCGATGGCGATGATGACCGACTTGCGCACATGCCATGCGGTACTCAGACTTGCACTAGAACAAGGGTTTGTCCACCGTGTCCATATTCGAAACGAAACGCTGATGACGCTGGCGCTGCAGTTGAAGTTTCTCGTAGGAGTGGAGGAGGGGGTGGACCATCGTGCCCCGGTTCTTCAATAGAGTATAAAACACAACAGTGTTGTACAAGTAAGCTAGGTGTATTGATGATAGTATTCGTTCTCCTAAAAATCCTTAACATGGGGATATCATAAATTTTGTTCACTTTGCCACGCCGCTGACGGCTAGGTCAAACACCGACTAGGCTATGTGTATGATGCTATATCTATTCAAATATTAAAGTATATTTACAAGTAAATAACAATTTTTGGAGCAGCTCTGGGATTACTTGATACGCTACATACTGAATTCAATTTGTGTATTTATTAGATCTAGCTCCTAATCGGTGAATTGTGATACGACATTAACCATATAATGTATGTATTATGGTTTATTTACAAACTGTGAATGCGTACAACAAATAAAAACATACATTAAGAGACATTACAGAGATGCTATGAGCTCGATTGAAATGCGTTATGCATATAAATAAATCAAAAATTTGAAAAAAGTCATGTTAACGTAAACGTACAGAGCTATGGATACATTAAACAAAGCGTTGATACGAAACCTTTCCAGTGATATAATTTTTCTGTAGCTTGTACATGGGGACAGTGGTCCAAGTGGACATCTTGGAGTTGCAAAAGTTGCCCCCCTGGGATCCCTCGATGCGGTTCAACGACACTTGCATATTGTTCAAGAGCCAGGGTCAGACAAAGAGATCCAAATCGATGTCCAAGACCATTTGTCGAAACAGAAACCCAAAAGAAAGTTAATACGCAATGTCCTGCGCCAAAATGTAAGTCATACAAGCTTATACCAAAAGGCCCGTCTTCAGTGCAACTAACTTGGCAGGTCACGTCCATGTTCCCTTATTCCAATATTTTAAAAAAATGAGTCAACGAACATCATTTTACATTGTGTCATCGGAATTAGCATCGAATCATGCATGTTTATGGTTGTTTGTAACAAATAATGTGGAAACGTTCAACAAATATTCGAAGTACTACATTGTACTTCATGGTGGGTCTGCTTAGTCTAGGCGGACGATGGGCGCACGGGCGCAGCATAAATCATGTGACCAAAATTCCAGGAAAACCTATCACCGATTCAACTCAGTTAACTTTTTCAGATGCAAAAGCAGAATGATGCCAAAATCATCTGATTAGATTTAGGGCTTGCTGGGTAAAATCACTTGGCGGGCATGATGACTTTTTCGATGTTTTGCAACATTTAGTTTTGTGTATTGCTGCTTATTGATAAATGTTTAACGATTCGATACCAGAGTCTACAGTAAAATACCTTTCCAGTGCATTCTGCAACCTTTTTATATATCAAGGAACCTATAATATATTGGCTAGATTGATGATGTCATATGTTGTTCTTTTTCAAAATTGGCAATAAGTTTATCTTTTTTCATTTGGATGGAGTGGTACCAACAACCAATGACATCATCAATCTAGCCGATATATCCTAGCTTCTTTCATCTACAATAAGGTTGGAAAGGTCTATTGATCAAAATGTAACATACAATACAATTTCCCCTTTCGAAACCTTGTTGTTTGTAGGTTGTAGATGGAGTAAATGGAGCGACTGGTCAATTGGAGCGTGTAGTGTCACATGTGGAACGGGAATCCGACCGAAACTTAGAACTAGAACTAAAATATACGGAACAACTGGAGGATCCACGACGTGTGACGGAAAGAATTACGAGCACACAGACGAACTCTGCTATGCAAAAACTTGCGGTACGTACGGACACCCAAACAATACGAGTTGATTGCATTGAGAAGTAAATGTAGAGCACAACGAAAACGTTAATAAATAATTCAAAAAACAAATTGATCGATGTAAAATCCAATTTGGAACATTGTATTTTCACCGTTTATGTTATTGACTCAAAAACGAAGATTGCAAATTTCAGAATATGAATGAATGTCTGTTACTCAACGTTTTCATTTCGTGTGTTTTAGCTACGACTCCAAAACCCACATGCAATACATACGAGCCTTGGACACCATGGGTTTGTCATTGTACACCGATACGGACATATAGAAGGAAAAGATCCGGCTGCAATTCAGGTTACAACGTATGCCAACGCAGTAGACAGTGCCCTTGCATAAAAGATGGGCGATATTCAGAAGGGAATTGCATCGGAGAACACGTGCAATACAAACAGCATCTCATATGTTGTCCCTTTATGAGTGGATTCGGTAGGATCCATTTTACTCTTAACTTTACAAAATGTGATATAAGGCAACGTTTTTTTTACTGCAATCGAAGATGGCCGAAGATGGCCGAATATGGCCGAAGATCTAAACTTCTTAAAGATTCACGTATTGAATATGTGAAATAATGGTCATCTAGGCATCAGTTCTCCCTTTCGTTTTATTTACATGTGCCCGATTGAATTTAAAGTTTAGGGTGATATTTCCACGCGTCTACCTACTCGTTCAGTATCATATTTATTAATCATAAAACGAATTTATGATTTAGATTCTGTAGCAGCAGCTGAAACAACAGCTAGCACATCTCCTACAACAACCACATCACCTGCAACAACTGAAGAACCTACAACAACTGAAGAAACTGCAACAACCACCGAGGACAAATGCAAATACGAGTTATGCCCAATATGTGATTTTGGCTCCGATCCGTTAGAAGGCAGCTGCTGTGGCTTATGCAAGACACCTCCTGGGACAGGATAATGGCATTGTAAAACTACGTTTAGTTTTTTTCTTGGCTTTCAGAATAGAGTATTTAATAATCAGATTATATTCTATCCTTTTATTTAGTAAAGTAGTTTGCCAAGCGCTCAACTGACAGCGGATGGATGTCTTTTTCTCGTCTTCACGTGTCAAGCAGGCAAAACGTCAGATATTTTCATTAGCTTGTTAGTTGATTTTTAAGGCAGACATTACTATAGTATTGATTTGTTGTCTTTGAATCCATGTCTACCCGATTCAAACTCAGGGGATTTTTGCTACAGAAGTCATTTTTGAAAACGTTAATGAGTGGATTTTCGAATAATCATTCTGAAATATTATCTGTTGAAAATCTTGTTAACTAATCTTGTTGCTAATATCTTGCGTAGCGTCGATTCAATTTCTTTACATTTCTTACACGTGCTTAATACATAAGTACATAGGCCATCCGTGTCATTTCTGGGCTTGGTTACTTTTAATTACTTGCTCAATAATTCTAGTTTATTTACTTCACTATCTTTCTTACTCTTCATAAGTGTTACTTAACTCTATCAGACCTGTTAAATGTATAACATTTTTGAACATTGTTAAATTTATAGTCAATGTGGCATTATTGAGCATTAACAGATATTGTTGTATTTGATGTCACATCAGTTCGCCAAAATATATGTACTCCTGTATCAATGTAAAATGTTTCACTGATTATTTCAACACATGGAATGAGATTATTTGTATGATGCATTTGTGTATTAAATTTATTACGTTTATGTATTTCAGTTTTGAATGGAAAGCGACAACAAAAAAAGCAATGACACGGACATGTTTAAATATAAAAATGAAACCTTAATCAAATGTATAATGTATTTAATAAATATATATTCAGTAGCATACATTGACTTGCAGTTATTTAGAATTCAAATTGGATTTATTCAATCTATAAAAAAGTAAGAGGATTCAATCATACATCATTTTTATCGATGCGATAATTGATCCTCGGTGGTAAAATAATGAATAGAATAAAAAATATACCCATTCTAAAGCTCTTGCAACGTACATTAATAAATACTGTGTGCATTTGCAAAATCATTGTATTATTTTGTATTGTTCGATCACATTATGATAATGACTTTGTATACTGTCCTAACACTAGATGTGTTGTATAATGACTTTATCGAACCGCAAACAAGATGCCTATTGTCTCCAACCTGCAGTTTATCCTGAACATTCTATGAACTTTGTTTTTAATGATAAGGTGATGTTTAAACAAAATAAACAAAATGGATTTATACTTTCTATCGCATTCTATACCAATTGTTTATTTCAGTGTTTCAAAAAATGAAATGACTTTTTGAGTTTCGAAACTGTTAATAAGCAGAGACAGTTTGAATATTTTTCAATACGCTACAGAAGTTTCTTGGGAATGGACATAAAAATGAAAGCTGGGTATTGACTTTGAATCAAATATACAAATATAAATAAAGCCATTGAAAATGCATTTCATGATAAGTTTGACTTTGGTTATACTTGTATCTGGCGTATTCGGTAAGTACGAATGTAATTTTCCAATTCGACACTTTTTGTTGTAAAACAGATTTCAATATTTAATTGAGAACTCAAATCTTAGTTAAGGTACATGTACCCCCATTTAATATAGTAGTAGTAGTAGTAAACTAGTTCATTTTAGTCTCACACATACATATTATATATTAAAAATAGTTTTTTAAAAAGTTAGGATTGTATGCCCAGCCGTTCCCGGCTATGAAAGACTAGATACATGTTTATCAATATTCAGATTACAGATAAAATTAAATAAGTAAAGTTACGTTAATATTGCACTAGTATACACTCCCCTCCATAAGTTTGGCAACCTTTTTCCCCATTGAACTACGTGTTAACGCCTCTTTACGTTTGAATTTTTATTTACTTAACCGGCGATGAAGTAACTCATAATATTGACGAAAACGTAACTTGACTTTATTTCCAATACCTCAAAATTTTCTCAATTTTTTCCTCAATTACAATAGGTCGAAAATTGATGATAAATTTGATGAATTTTTGAAACTCGTCATTCCCATGTAATCCAATGGGAAATGGAGGGTTCGGGGCAAATCAGAAATCAGGATATCTTTTCAGTAAAAGATTTAGCAAAAAATATTTTTATATAGAAAATTGAATTGTCTAACTTTTTTTAACACTATGAGTTTAGTTTATTTGATGAATATTAAAGTTACAGCGCTTCAAAGTCATTTTTGAAAATAATTCTTCTGCTCCTGTGTTATTTCAATGGGAGAGGTCTTTTGGAAAACAATTTTGACTTTAAAGCCCTATAACTTTGTTGAACCTGGAGAAACATATCAATTTTTTGTTAAATAAAGTTAGCAAATTCAATTGCCTGCCTAACTCGTATTTTTTGCAAGGACTCGGATGGATCGATATTCTGTCATATGACTTGTGGCAAACCTACTATTTCCCATTGGTTAACATGGGAATGTCGATTTTCCAAAATTCATCATCAATTTTCGACCTATTGTAATTGAGGGAAAAAAATTAGAAAATTTAGAGGTATAGGAATTAAAGTCAAATTACGTTTCCATCAATAGTATAAGTATTTTCATCGCAGGTTAAGTAAATAAAAATTCAAAGGTATAGAGGCTTTAACACGTAGTTCAATGGGGGAAAAAAGGTTGCCAAACTTATGGAGGGGAGTGTAGTACAGTCAGTTAGGTTTTTAATTGCACATGCTATATATAAAGCACCATTTTTTGACAAAAGTATCGCGAATACATATATTTTTTATATCGAACGAAGTTGTGGTAAAAAGTGGCTCCAGTTGAATTAATAGCAGGCTCCGAAAATATTGCACATTTACATTGAGCTCCATGTTAATTTATAAATCTTCATAAGCCCCCCGCAGAACAGTTAAACAGGCACATTTATTTCTAAAAAAAATCTTATTTTGATATATGTAGCCGTTAAAAAACTATATTTAGCCCTATGTAAATTTATCAATCTTCACAGGACCCCCTGCAGAACAGTTATAGAGTAATAAAGCCCATATTCCTAGTATCTTACAATAACATGATTATCTTCAAAATAAGAAGTTTTTTCTTTTACCTCGTTCCAAAGATATAGGAGTTTGAATTTTGGAGAATCCCCATTGGCTGCCATTATAAACTGCAATCAATATGGCTTTATTAAAGCATCCTTTTCTCAGAAGTTGTAGATTTCTATAGTTAATATATTGACTTAAAAAAGATCAAACAGGCACATTTCTAAAAATTTCTTATTTTTAATACATGTGGCCATTAAGTTGTATAAAAAACTATATTTAGCTCTATGTTGATTTATCAATCTTCACAAGACCCTCTGCAGAACAGTTCTAGAGTAATAAAGCCCATATTCCTAGTATCTTACATTCTATTCTCTCATCACTACCCGTCATTCAACATAACACCAACTTTCAGTTTCAAGGAATGAGAGCACTTGGCACCCGTGTTTATTAGTAGCGTTATCCCGCAAGACGGCGTTGACAAGACACAAATGTTTGTTCGATTATCGAGGACTCATTGTGCGTAAAATGTATGTATACAGATCAAATTAACGTTAATAATCAAGCCTATATAAAGTATAATGATATCTCAGTGAATCCTAGAACTATTAATACGTATAAAGTGAATCTGATTGGCACCATTAAAACCTCTACTCTTATTATGAGAGACCGAGGACTCCTTAAAAGCTTTAAAAAGAAACCATCTTCATCTAAACTGAGGTTTCTTTGGAGATGAAAAGGTATGTCAATCAAAACCACTATCTACATGTATATTATTACTGAACAATACTCTTACAAGAGTTGATACATAATGTTTGAAATTTACGAATACAACACTGTAATGTGAATATTAAAACGAAGTGTATGTGTTGACTACACGGTGACAAAGCTCAGAATGTCTTTCTTCACCACGAAAACATCCACTCACTCACATAACTCTACATTGAACTGAACTCATCGTTCAGCCAATAGAAAGCATTTATGTTCTAAAGTCGCTACGCTCCACCGAACATAAATAGGCAATAACATGATTACCTTCAAAATAAAAAAGGTTGTTTTTTCTTTGGCCTAGTTCCAAAGATATAGGAGTTTGAATTTTGGAGAATCCCCATTGGCTGACATTATAAACTGCAATTTATATGGCTTTATTTAAGTTTCCCTTTCTCAAAAATCCACTGTGAAATTGTCTAATATTGAGTTCAATAGATAAAATATTGACTTAAAAAAATCAAACAGGCACATTTCTAAAGAATTCTTATTTTTAATATATGTAATGGGAAATATCTGTTAATATTTCAAAAACAAAAATTGTTAAGCTCCAGAAAAATGGTCATGCATGTACTGAAATGTTTTATTAAAACAAGGATAAAATAGATTGTGTCCTCATTGGCTGCCATAATAAACCGATAACAATATGGCTTTAGTAAAGTGTCCTTTTCTCAAAAAGTCAT